AGATTCCCTGATGGCTAGTAACACTAACTGGCTTCACTTAATAGTCATCCCTTTTGGAATACTTGCTTGTGTTAAAGAAACTATGACTATGCCTGATCAGGGGACTTCAGTTGGGAAAGTAAGAAACTTTTTCAGCTTCCTTTCAGTTCTCAATTATATAGAGTTACTTAAAACTATTTGCATGTAAATATTACAGTGTACTTAGAGCATAATCCCCCAGGTCACCATTACTGTCCCCCTTCTTCCTCTCCCATCTCATTTGTCTCCTTTGTGGTTAGATAGTTTCATTTTTATTTATATGTCATCATTACATATATGATATTATGTATCTATACTGTCAAGACACACAAGGAAGAGAAACATTGTCATACTTGTGTTGCTGAGGCTGACATAGTTCACTCTATATGCTTATCTCTGGTTAATCTCTTTTCCTGAGCCTTTTTCTTCCCTTTTTTAAAAAAAAAAAAAAAAAAAAAAACCTCATTGTCTCTGTCATTCTTCTGTGCTTAGACACCTAACATAGTTGTGAGCTACCTACTGAGATAATGCCAATAAACATGCCACATAAGTATCTTTGTGCTATGCTGTTTCCAGTCTTGGGAGTAAATATACTAAAATGACATTGCTGAGTCATATGTGCATCTATTTTTATGTTTTGTTTTTTTTTTAAATTTCCATACTGACTCCATACTGTTTTAGCTAGTTTACACTTCCAACAGCACTGTACAGGGGTTCTCTTTGGTCCATAAGCATTTGTTGTTATTGTCTTTTTTTTTTTAAAGAACTGTCATTCCAAATGGGAATAAAAGGAATCTCAATGCAGACTTTTTTATTATTTGCATTTCTCATTGCATTGGTCAATGAACTTGTGATGTGGATGTTCTTATGTACATACGTTTCTCTTATTGGTTGATGAATAAAGCACTATGGCCAACGAGACATGATGATAGGAGGGACTAGGAGACAGGGAGGATTCTGGGATTCTAGGCAGAATCAGTTAACATGTAGGATACTAGAGGAGTAACAGGTCCCAGGACCTTTCTCTGGTAAGATAAGACCATGTGGAAATACTTAGATTAATAGAAATGAGTTAGTAATTGAGACAGAGCTAGCCAATAAGAAGTTGAAGACAATGGCCAACAGTATTATAACTAATATAGTGTCTGCAAGTTCATTGGGGCTGACATGCTTCTAGGACCGGGCTGGCGGGGAAGAATGCTTGTAACAAACTTGAATATTTTTCTTATGTTTATTGGCCATTTGCAATTTATCTTCTGAGAACTATCTTATTCAATTGCTCTATTGATTAGTGCATTTGATTTTGTTATTCAGAATTTACAGTTCTTTGTGCATTAATGTTCTTTATAAGCATCTATCCTTCATCAAATATATAGCTAGCCAAGACTTTCTCCCACAGTGTAGAACCTTTCTTCACTCTGATTAATTGTTTGCTTTGTTGGGCAGAAGCTTGTTAATCATATGATCTCATTTGCCAATTGCTGTTACTATTTCCTGCCCAACTGGAGTCCTATTTAGAAATGTCTTGGCTATACTGATTCCTTCATGTGTCTTCTCTACTTTTTCCTTCCTTAGTTTGATTTCAGGTCTTACAATAAGATCTTCGGTCCATTTGAAGTTGATTTTAATACAGGGTGAAAGGGAGGTATCCAGTTTTATTCTTCTATGTGTGTATATCCAATTTTGCCAGCACCATTTGCTGAGATATCCTTTCTCCAATGCACATTTTTATAATCTTTCTGAGAAACCAGATGGCTACAGCCTCCTTCATTTGTTTCTTAGGACTCTTAGGTATATATATCTATGTGTGGGGTTTCAGGCCATCACTAAACTGTTTACTATGACTCTGTTGTATATCTTGAAACCAAGTGAGGTGATGCGCCTGGTATAGCTCAGGTATCAACAAGGTCACCACAGTAACTCATACATTTTGCTTCACAGGAGAATTACAAATCCTTGTTCTCTGTTTTTCCCCATGCTGTCTCTTTACTCGAAAGAATGATTGAAAGAAACCAAAACATTGTCCTGCTGGAGAATAACAGATTAAAAAATATTTAATGGGAATCAATGGGGTAAAGGCACTTATAGCCAAATCTGATGATATGAATTAGACCCCTGGAACCCAACTGATGGAGAGAAAATGGCCTCTAAGACAGTAGTTATCAGCCTATGGGTCATGACCCCTTTGAAGTCACATATCAGATATCCTGTATATCAGATATTTACATTATGATTCACAACTAACAAAATTACAGTTATGAATTAACAATGAAATAATTTCTTGGTTTGGCGTCATCAAACTGTATTAAACTATTAAAGGGTCACAACATTAGGAAGGTTGAGAACCATTGACCTTTGGTTTGAATGCCTTGTACAATAACAGTACTTTAACCCATTGTGCTGTTACTGTGCAACTCACTGCAAGCTCTGAAGAAAGTAAAAGTATGTGTTGGGACTCAACATTTGCTGATGGTCTTGAATGTTGAACAAAACTACCATCTTACACTCTAGATTTCACTGGGTTGACTGTATTGTGATAGGGACCAGACAGCACTTACTCCCACCCTCATGCAAGATTCTTTTTTATCCTCTGTGTTGTTTAGCTGATTTAAAGATGTTTCAGGGTCCTGACAGTTGTCCCTTGGGGACGGGCGGGGGGGGTGGGAAGTAGGTGGTACACCAATGACACAGACATCAAGAACAAATTGAAACAACAAGCTCAGTTTATTCCAGGAAGGGGTAAGCCTTATATACCCCTCAAACCTGCCCCAGGGTAGGAGATCCATTGAGCTGGCATCTGCTGAGGTGATGTGGTCACTGTCCATAGGTCCACATGGACTGCTGTTGTCAAGGTCCTCTGGCAGAACCCAGGCTGGCTGTCAGGAAATATCTACGGCAAGTGCTCTTAATATCTAGGGGCAGAGTCTAGGCCAGCTGTCAGGAGGTATTTACTGCACATGCTTTAGGCCAGTTGTCAGGCACATTGATGCTTAGTTATCCCAGACAAAGAGAGTAGTAGTGTGTTATATTAATGATGTTTTGTTTTTCTTTTAAAAGTAAGACACAGTAGAGAGTAGCAGTTTATACTTGTAGTCCACTATTCAGGAGACTAAAGCTGAAGGATTATGACTTCAACGACTACCTGAGACATATAGGAGGATCAAGACCTGGACAACTGAGTGAGGCTGTCTCAAAATAAAATGGAAAGAAAGACTGGAATATATCTCAGTGGGATGAACGACTGTTCTGTGCACAGCTACCTTAAGTCTTCACTAAACTTCATTAAACTTTGTATCATAAACACACATGCATACATATATATATATATATATATATATATATATATTTATATATTAAGCCAATCAAATTGAATTAATAAACCCAGGGTTAATCTGAGCAAAACATTCCTAGGTGACCCCAGGGGAAGAGGAGAAAACCATGAGGGGAAATGGGGGTAGGGGTGGCTTTTAAATGCCTTCTGGGGGTAGAGCCACCAATGGAAGGCTTTCTTAGGGGCAGAGTCTAGAATGAGGCAACTCCAGGGGAGGGGTAGATACTCAGCATCCTGAGGGTGGAGTTTGGAAAAGGGCCCTTAGTTGGAGAGCCCAAACAAAAGTCAACACATTTTTATTTTTATACAGTACAGAAATATAAATGAGCAACTATCAACAGTTCAGAAAATTACACATATACAAATCCTAATTGTACTTCTAACTAATTTCTCCAGGTGAACTCATGTACAGAATTTCTTTGTGTTGACGAATATTCATTTTTAAAAGCACATGGTTTTTAAAGGCAAGAAAGAATCATTTCCTGTTAAAAATACCTTGAAATAATGAAAAGTGTAAGATATAAATAGTTGTCCTTCCTATCTCCCTGAGGTCACTACAGATAATAGCATGGTGTATGTAAGAAGCAAAATGAAATCCTTGACTGCTATTCCAGGAGAGGGTTGATTTGTAGGACCTATATCCTGTTTCATGTGGCCCTCAGCTACCAGGAAGAATTATATACATGAGAATAACATGTCTTCATTTGTATTAATGAAAACAGAAAACCTCCATTTTTTTTAACAATGTTGAACAACAATGTTGGAGAAACCCTATTAGGTCAAACACCTAACTGATAAGCTTTCAGAACTTGCTGCAATATACATTGATTTTATTTTCTTTTTATAATAATATTTTGAAGCTGGGGAAATTTTTGAAAGAAACATAAGAGGAGCAGGAGAGATTATTAAATGGTTAAGAGCACTTGCTGCTCTTCAAGTAGATCTGGGTTTGATTTCCAGCACCCACAACAGAAGGCTTACAGCCACATATAACTCCAGTTCTAAGTTATCTAATGCCATCTTCTGGACATCTGGGGCACCAGGCATGTACATGATGCACATATACAAGTACTTACATAGATACATAAAAATAACATACTCTTAAAGGGAACATGGGAAATATGAATGGTGCTTCTATACTTAAAAATTTAACAATATGTATGTTATTTTAAGCAAAATCAAGGGTGGAGCTTATAGCTCAGTGCCATAGTGTTGTCTACTATGAGTAATAAGCCCCTAGGTTTGATCACCAGGAACACCACACCAGCAGGAATAAAGAAACAAACACTAGGAAAGCTCCCTGCGAGAAACACTGTTGGAGGCTGCTCTCTGTCCTGGTTACAATGTGTACGGAAGAAGACCTGGAGTGATGCCAGGGCTAGGAAGTGAGGACTATGGGTCTTGATTTTGCACCATGAAGAAAGTTCACGGCAAGCAGCAGACCTCACTGCTGGCTAAGATCTATCACCATGTCATCTCAAAACCATACAAACATGCTTGCATTCCACAAATCTGTTAGGGCATCGGGGTCTTAAACGCCATATCTTTAGATCATTTGGATGCCAGAAGAAAACTAAAATTGCATGAGAAAAGAAAACAGCACACAGGGGAGTCATTATTTTTCATCATTTTTAGAAGTCTTTATTTTTTTAGTTGCTCCTCCCACAGTAACGCACCAAAAGGCATAACAGTTTATATTGTACAAAGCATTGGAAGAAAGTACCTCAACTTGCCAATTATTTCCAAATGAGATTACAAACAAAAAGAAAAAAATCTGGTTTATCAATAAAGGACAAAATAACTGAATAATGTCTGTTATTTACTTCTCTCTTTTTAACATAAGGTCAGGAACACTTCATTTTACAAATAGGATTAACATGAACATAACATCATCGCACAAGCTTGCAGACAACCAGCATAAGATATGGGGTATAGTTCTTAATCAGAAGAATCATGCTTTCGTGAAAGAAATTATAATCATTTATACAATTGAATTGATTTCTGTATTACAAAAACTAAGTTGCATCTATTTGTATTTAGTTCATTAAAAAAGAAAACAAAACAACAACAACAACAAAAAAGGAAGGAATGTTAAGAAAAGCCAAACACTATTGGGCACTCCCATACACAGGTCGTGTCCCCTTGGTCCTTGAAAGTCAAAAAGGGGTGTGCCTCAGACATCATAAAATAGTGGCTGACAGGAACAGTGCTCTTTTTAATCAACAAACAATAGTTTGCCAACAAATAAATACATGATACACGCAACACACAAAAAATTTAAACATTAAAAACAGTGACATGATTGTCTAAAATTAAGATGTTATTACAAGGATTTGGCAAACATTGTATTAGTGGTACATCGGTACTGGTGATGAACGGGTTACATCACTGACAACCTCTCTGAGCATGAGCATCCATAGTTTACAATATACACATACCCTTTTTCCCTAGTTTTAAACAATGTACTTAAGAAGGCAAAAGGTAAGGGGGGTGACAAAAACTCCTGTTATTACTTCCTATAATCATTGTGCATTTCTCCTGACTATTTCCATCTTCAAAGGGTTAAATTACATAAAACTTTAAAAAGGAAAAAATTAAATCTGGCAATTAAAAGCAACTGTTCCCAGTCACATCAGGTGATCTTGTAAAGAAAAAAAAGCAGAATTTGATTTCTATGGAGTGTTCATTTGTATCATCAATGCTGCCATCTCAACTGCTCCTCTCATCCACCCATGCCCTAGGACAGGAGAACGGAAGGCGTCTTCCCCAGTGAGGTTTTCATTCATCTCCAATCATTTTAGATTAATTGGTCCTCCAGAGGTCAGCAGCTGCCTTGCTGTGCAAAACAAAATATTGAGAATAAATAGCTTCCTTTTTTCTCTTCTTCTTTAATCATTCAGTTTAAGGTCATCAGACTTTAAATGAGTGACCCTTTAGGTTGATAAGGCATTCTGCTCAGCAGTCTTGTAAATAGTTCTATATGAAAGAGCCATGCTACTGTTGGACTTGGTCCCATTCTGGTCAACCTCGACAATGTCATACATGGCTTATGGACTGGATGGCACTGGATTCTGCTGCAGCCCTTGCCATGCTGTGCCACACGTTGGAGGAACTGTGGGAGGTGGGATGAATTGGATCCTTGTCTGACAGTGACAACATCATAGCATATGCCTGGAGTGAAAAGGAGAGATTCAGTAAATGGCATTTGAAGAAAAACAGCAAATCTAATTTGAAGAATATAGTCTGTGGATATTAGGAAGACATGAGATCCTGCACAGAAGCATCCTTCATGATTATATTAGCTAGAGAGGCTGTATTCTTTTTTTTATCAAAATGACGTAAGGGCTCACCTTAGCCAGACTCTGGAGGAGACGATCTGACTCTTGCACCTTGTAACCCAGAGACCTGAACGTGAATGATCACCCCAAGGTCTTTCAAATATACAAAACCAGCACTTATTTCTGCCCAACTTTGAATCTAGAGTCCTTCCTCAAAGTTCCCCTTTGTTTGAAATACCAACTGCAGACATCTAACACCCTTGAGAATGAGAGAGCTCAAGTAAATTCCACCAAGAAAAAAAAAGTATGAAACCCAACAGTATCTAAGCAACCATCCCTCATGAGTCCACTGAGTGGAAGGTGCACAGAGGTTCTGCACCGGGAACAGCTACTTCTTCCCTATGATCATGCCAAGTTCTAAATAACTGTTCAGAGATTCCCTCACCCACTGCCAAGGAAAATATTCAAATGAAGTGTTTGGTCTTGACTTGTGAGTGAACTTTTCACTGTTGATTTGCTATTGTGGGTCCCATCCATTGCTAAACTTGCTTGTCAAAATGCTGTTGAAGTGGAATCATTAAAGTCCTGCCAAAGACATTCCAGTGTCTGTAAACAAAGACAAATGCCTCTGTTGTTCAGCAGAATTTCATCTCAGGGAGTCATGCTGAGACATGTGGCCAGCCTGTGGTTTCTTCTCTCACCATGGCATTTGGTTAGATTATAGGCTGATTTTGATTTGCTGGGTCATTGCTCTCAATGAATACATTTGGCTTGTGTGTGTGTGTGTGTGTGTGTGTGTGTGTGTGTGTGTGTGTGTGTGTGCATATACACATGCTTGAACATGGGAGCTCCATATGCATGTGTGTGCATGTGTTCTTGTGGAAACTAAAGGTCAGCATTAGATATTGCTCAACAGTACACCTTGCATTTTGAAACACGGTCTCTCCCTGGTCTTTAACTTACCAACTAGGCTAGCTTGTTGGCCAGTAAGAACCAGGGACCCTTATGCCACCATATTTGGCTTTCTTTACATGAGTTCTGGGGTTCAAACTCATGTCCTTATACTTTTATAGCAAGTAGTTTAGTGAGTGAGCCACATTTGATTTTTATTTATGAAATTGTCTTCTGGGTTTGTACAAAAAAACCCAGTATTTATTCAACTAATATTCTTTAAGCATAAACTCTATGCCAGGCACTGTGGTTAGTACTAAAGAATCAATGACAAATGATACAGAGTCCAGGTCTTTTGTGGGAGGTCACTCTACCACTTGAGTTTAAATTTCCACATACAAGGTAGGAACAACCATAAAACATAATAGCACTTTTCTCCAATGGTTGTAGAGGAAACAGTGCTCAGCTCAGTATGCTTCATGCAAACTGATTCCTGTTAGGAAAATAGTTTTTGTAGAATATTGTTTCCCTCAAGGACATTCCCATCACAAAATCAAGTCACTATTTTACTGATCAATAATTTTGAATTCAATCACTATAAAAATTAAAGAATTCATATACAAATGCTTGAGAAAAGCACCATAAGTTTCAGATTATAAAAACATGACAGGAACCATTTGCTCTTCAGAGATCAAATGGCAACTGAATTACAGGGGTCACTGCCCAGTTCCTCTGCACCAAGGAAATAGCTGTTAAACCACAGAATGAATGAATTCATGACAAGTGAATGAATAAAGAGCCTCATGATAAAGTTAGTTTGCGCAGATATTTGATAGACTACCCATATATATGCACATATATGTATTTTGAAGTAGAAATCATGAGCTAGGATACACAAGGCTTAGATTTATTGTGATGCTACCTGTTACTGTGTCTAGGCAGGACGCTGCTCCTGAGATGCACTCTACAGCTGTTATCTCTACATTCTTAGCCCCCCTTGGCTTTCTTTCATAACTGAAAGTTTCTGAAATGAGTAGGTAGCATGTGTTACACAGTATTGGGGTGGGAAAATAAAAGAAAGGAAACTTGTATCCTCCTGGAATCTCTGATAGCTGGGAAACAAGGCATGTATATGCTTGAAGCAACTGCTTCTTATGGATGACTCTAAGTGGCTCTGGATGGCTTAACTTGAACATAATAAACTGAGAGGTCATGTGTATCCCCATTGAGTCAGGGAAAAGAATGAGATAGCTCTCTTTGCCCTTCTCTTACAATGATGAAATTGTGTCTGTCTGTCCATAACCTTCAAGCTTCTGCCAAGATGTCATAGGCTGTAGAAGCCCACTGTGTAGAGGCCATCCATATTCAATTCAGAAAGACTATAATTTTTTCTATTTTTGTGCATAATAACACAGACTTTTTATTGAAGTAAAGGATTGCAAACAATTTGCATTATCCTACTGACATAATGTCCCTGATCAGCAATCACATCTTAGTAGAGGTTTTACTTTATCACTATTAAGACCAGCCCAACGCATCTCAATGAATAGGAAATCATATCAAAATGTATATGCTAACATGGCCCCATTGATTTGATTTATCATGTTACCTCCAAAATGCTCTAAGTAAAATAAACAAATGTGATAAAAATATGTTATCTTTTTTATATGGTCTGAATGAACATTCAGTTGAGTGTAGATGTCATAAAAAAAAATCACTGGCTTCCTTCATTTTTTAACAAATAGCTGAAGCTCCTTTAATTGGTACTTGTGAAGATTTTTGGAATAATTTTCTGTTGCCATGTGCTGATAGGTTATGAATCAGGAGACAATTCATTCACTCAATAAACACAGGCTTTATTTCCAGATCTGTCACTAAGTTGGTGCAGATCTTTGGTAGCTCATTTTATTTCTGGCCTTCACTTTAGCCCTAAGCTCTGGACTTAATTATCTGATGGATACTGAATGAGTCATGCAATAGAACTCTCTATACATAGTAAAGAAAAATAAATAATTTTAGAACATACATATGTCAACAGAAGTTATAGATACAAGATGATCAGAAAATAATCCTGGGGTAACAAGAGAACTTGAAAATAAGCCATGAGCTTTCTAACCAACAGGGAAAGAACTAAAAGGAAACTCAAAGAATTGCAAGGCATGGTCAGGCTTGCCATGGAAGTTTTGGTGGTGCAGAATGCAGTTTTACATGTTAATGACTGCATTAGTTAACTTTGGCATTGATCATCTACTGAGAAAAACCAGGAACATCATGAAGAAAGCAACCAAATCTGCCTGGATTCTAGAGTATTACAACTTGATAATATCTGCGTCTGTTCATAAAAGAAATGCATGCTTGCGTGCACAATGCCCCCTGATGTGGCCTACAGCAGGGTCAGTACCTGTGACTTGGACTTTCTGTGTAACGGCTGTTTAAGCTCCTCTGGCACAAGAGAAGAAGAACTAAAGGAAGACAGCTCAGCGTCAGTGTATTGATTCTCCTCCATTCCCCTCATTTTGAGGCTGTCTGTGAAGTGCCTTATGTGATCTAGAGCAGAAAGGCCAGATTTATAGTCTTCCTCTTTATACCTAAAATGAACCAATGGGAAAGCACAGAAATTTGGTTTTCTTTTGCAGTTTCTTATCTCATCAAGTTATTTTCATTTTTATCTTAATAGCTGTCAAACTTCATACTGCATTGTTGTGCAAATGTAGCATGCAATAGCTGCTAGTTTAAAAACTATTTGTAAATATCATATCTTAAGATATATTTTCTTTAATATTTTATTGACTAAAGTCAGGCTTATATTTGAAGTAAAATTGATGACATATGAAGTCAACAATGTGTGGGAACAGAAGTCATACATTTGAAAACTTTTAAAGTAAAGTCAGTTATAAAAATATTTAGTCAGGATACCTTAGCATCACAGAAATATATCACCTTCAGCTTAACTATTGGTTAATTTTTTCCAATTAAAAATCTATCATCTATGAAATTTACAATTTATGTCAAATATCTGAGTTACAATTATAGTAGATTATTGAATGGCTTCATTCATAATGAAATGTCCATTTTCCTTCGGGCTTCAAAAGTAGATTCTAAAAATTAAGTACTTGGGTAATCTTCATTCATCCTTCCTGCTGTGGGGCCACCAGAGTCCCACAAACACTAATGTGTTTACATACTTGTGTTCCTTGCCGCCTTATTTCCCTCTATGTCAAACTGATACACTGTGTGTGCCTTTCCCAGGTCAAATTGGACATTAATGTTTTGTTACTCACACATTCCTTATAATCTAACACAATCTTCCAGTAGCCAAGCAAAGTAGAAGGAATTTGCACCACAGTCCACCACACACTATCTCTGTTGCTTGGCTTGCTGAGTTGCAGAGCACTCACCTCACCGGGGATGTCTTACAACTCATCTCCAGGGCACCTGCTTCCTCATAGTCATCCTCTGGGATTTCTTCATCTAAATTAGTTGTCCCCAGCTCCTTTCCAGATTTTCCAGGAATGTCATTGTCTTCATCCTCCTCATCCAACAGCACTTCATCTTCTACTTCTTCATCATCCAGTAAATCAGAACTCTGGCTGGTTACCAAAGCCTTGTCATCCTTGAAGTGACTACCATTCATCCTTTCAAAAGCACAAAAAGTAAAAGGATCAATTATTGGTTTGATTTTTAAACATGCAGTTAGTTTTCTTACCCTCCCGAAACAATAGTTTAAATATTCAGCACTTACAAAAGAAATTTGTGTGGTGTGTGCCTTGTTGCAGCAACCTTGGGAAAATAATGTAATTTCACAAAGGCACAAACAAAGACAAAAATAACTGGATGATAATTCAGGCTACAAATGCAGCCTCTGGCAAAACAGGAAAGGCAACCCCAGTCTCTGATTTCTTATCATTCCTGATAAATGATATGGTGTGTGTTATATAAAAGCACACGAATGTTTTCTCTGTATAATGCACATAATTACCATTTAAGTACCCACCATTTAAAGTAATTGATTTCTGGAAAACATATATCACTGAGCAAAGCTGACAATAGCTTCAGCACGCACACACACACACACACACACACACACACACACACACTCCGAATCCAAGAAACCAGAGACAATGTGAATGAAGCTGCCAAGGAGCAATTGGTATTTACTGTTCCTCGGTTACAGTTGTGATAGTCTCTACTTGGACACAATACTCAAGCTTGGAAGTTATTGAGAGCTCACTTATCTTGACTCTTTCTAAATGATCCTAAATTGTCTAACAGCAAAAGAGTTCTTTGTTTTCCAAGAAAACACAGAGATGGTAAATCAAGGAGGAATTTAAGTGTACTGACATCTTTTGAAACTCACTTAGCAGGCAGAGCTAACAATGCAAAAGAATCATTTTTCAACTTAAAATGTCCTTTGTAATATTTCTGTTTACATTTTAAAGAATTGCAATAGACAACTCAAAAAAACTTACTACACAAATTCTGCTTATGGAATTTGAAGGCATGTTTGAAGCTGGAAGAGGCTTTCAAAATGACCACCAATGTAAGGGAAATTTGGATATAAGTTTTGTTGTAAGACTTTAAAGTATAACAACCATAAACACTTTAAAAGATGGAGCTGCCTTGGAAAGATATATAGTCAGAGAGGTTGTTCAGGCTCAGAAAGTATGTGAAGATATGAATCATTGCAGGTGCCCACACATAGTAATCCCCAAGTCAGTCATTATCATCTTTGCTTACCATGTTCATCTACCTAGTTATTGTATTAGAAAATCACAGAATCTTTAGCTATTGTAGGCAAGTATACTTCCACATGAAATGAAATGACTTTTCAGTCCATGGAAGATCAGAAAACATACTTAGAAATTCCCACATGAAAGTATGCAGAACTTAATGCTCAGATTTCTGACAATTAAAGCAATACATACATAAACCAACCTTGGAGATGACAGAAGCGCAAAGTATAAATGCATTTGACCAGAAAAGTAACATCATTGCTGAACACTTAATACAACCACTTTTACCAAAAAGAAGGATGAAAACATATTTTTAACAGACACAAACTATTAGTTTTCAGATACAGTGCCAACTTGCTAGCTTGAATGGTTGAAAATTGTTATTATTTTTTTAAAAGTGGAAAAAATGAAAGTAAAAGAACAAAAGAGTCCGTGGATGAAAACCAAAAGCAACAAAAGCCAACATGATTAAGAAAACATATTTGTTAATTATGCTTTCAAATGTGGCAATTTATAGGGATAAATTATTCATCAAAAGTAGCCTGGTAGGTGCAGAGAGAGGGAAAGTCAAATGACTCAACTTCTACTTCTGTGTTTAGACATGTTGAAGCCAGATGTTGCAGCTATGCAGCCTCAAAATCTCCAGCTATCAAACCTGAATACACGTTTCAGAACCAAATGGTGATTTTAGCATTTCATATTTATACTACATAATCAGAATTTAACTTGTATATAATGTGTTACTAGATTCATTTTTTACTGCGGAACAATGGACTTGCCTTTCTCACAATATGTACATACAAGCACACACAGGCAAGTGGAAGGAATGATACATCCAACTAGGAGATGCTGTTGTTCTTACAACTTCATAGATGCCTAACATGCTTATTCTCTCTCCTTTCCCTAGCTATGGTTACACAAAATAAACAGCAGGGGCAGTTGTTTGTTTTGCTGTTATTGTGAAGTTAGAACATTTATTATCTGAAGTGTGTTTCCCTGGTGATTAGTCTTGGCTTTTACATGCAAAAGAAACTAAAGACAGTGACACATTAAAATCATAGAAACTTCATCAATAAATTTCAGAACATACGTAGATAGATAGATAGACAGACATGTCCACTAAAGCCAACACCTCTGCCTGTTTGAGAGTTCAAGAGGAATAATTGGCTCTGAATTGAAAAGTTCTCAAACAGCTTTTGTGCAAACATATTGAACTAATCAATGTTACTTCATATACAAAGTGATAATGATATGTAAAGAGATAGAGAGAAAGACAAGATGGAGACACACATTGTGTCATGAGTTATCTATTAATAGCATATTAAATATAGTAATAACCAATAATGAATCCTTCTGGTGAATTTCCTTCTGGCTTTTGAAATTTTGATTTAGCTGCCAAGGTAAGCAGAACTGCCTGGTAGTAAAATGGGCTGCAAAACAAATAGGCCAGGTTACATCTCATCAATTATTTACATGGCTTCTGGCAAGTTATTAACCTTTGATATCACCATTCTCTTCTGATAAAGTTGCAGTCACTTTCATGAGGTCATTGTGAAAATTAAATTAAGTAATATGGAGCTGAAGAGATGGCTCAGCACTTAAAGCACTTGCTGCCCAAGCAAGAAGACAGGGTCCCCAAAACCCACATAAATGCTGGGTGGACATGGTGGTCCACCAATAATTCCATCCTCACAAGAAAGAAAAAGGATGCTGGGAGCAAGCTGGCTATCAAAACTAGCAATATCTCTGAATATCAATATGACTGAGGGAGCTTGCTTCAAAGAATAAGGTAGAAGAATGATTGGGGAAGGTGCTTGACTTCAACCTCAGGCTTCCATAGCTTCTACACACAAGTGCATGGGTACCAATACACATGTAAACATACACAGATTTACACAATGCACATATGATGAAGAAAAATAGTAACTTGTTAACTAGTACATGTAACATATTACATAACTGTTAGCTATGCATTCAAATAAACTCCAATCACCAGCATCAGCAATAGTACCAGCACATGAGTGCAGAAATGTGTGCAAGAGCTGCTGTACCTCTCATCCATGTTCCGAGGAGACTGACTACCATGGTTGCTATTTCCAATGAAATTCCGGATCTCTGTGAAGTAAGCATCTTCTTTGTCATCCAGGATTGCACCTGTGCTTTCTAGTTCTGAATGAGGTGAAGATGTTGCTGTACCTGGGTGGGAAAGAAAGCCTTTGTGAGAAGATCATTGTTCATTCCTTATCACTTCATTCCTTATAAACCAGAGGAGTGCTATGTCTCAAAACTTGCCCTTTGCAATGGGAATACAAGCAACTCCAAATTGTAGTGCAAGCTCATGAGTCTGGACACCAAGACCAAGAATCACAGACTATCAAGGTTGTCATTTCTTTCAACCTGCTTGTTCTTATCTTTCTGGAGCATGGGAGTATTTTCATTCATATAAGAAGACAGGGTAAGAAATTATAGAAATCTTATTTACGGACTCACACCTAGCATTTTATACCTTCATTTGTTACAAGGGGTTGTGAGCAGACTCAGAAACAACCCAGAGGCTGGTTTAGCATGAAGAGGCCAATAAAGGATCTGCCTTCTATAAGATGGTCTTCAGCTTCCTTGCAAATTAAAGTCATGATAACTGTGTCATAGAACTGCTATATTGGTTTACATAAATTCACACCATTGTAAGTACTTAATATATTGCCACATCTTATGTAAACACAGGCTTTATACTACTTAGGTATTCCCACAATATATCTACAATTTAATAGTTCATTATTACCATCCATATAGCAAAAACATGGAGCTAGTACTTTCCCATCTTAATGAAATTATCTGGTTAAAAATAAGCATTCAACTTTGACAAATTTATTTTTCCCGATATTGGGAATCAAATTCAAAAACCAGTACATGCCAAGTAACTGCTCTACCACTGAACTATATTCTTGGACCCCCAACTAGATGTATTTTCTAACTTTCTATTTTTCTGAAATAATATTGATTACATAATATAGGATATTTGGCACATAGAATATTTTCTATGCTTTCATCATTGGACTAAACTTCTAGGCTTAAAATCCAACACTTAAAAACCAGGATTGGATTTTTGGGATTGAGGAAGATGAATAGTGTACATGTTACCATTCAAGATCACACACAATGCTGCTTACAGCCAAAAAAAGGATCAACAAAGTAATTTATTCAAGAAAAATGATTTGGCATTCCAGATCTGTTTCCTTTTCCTTCTCTGAAGTCCCCTTCCTTGAACTCAGTACTTGCCCACCATCATCCTAATTGTACAGGTTATCTCTGTACATATACCCCAGCAGACAAATTCAGTTCTTGGTTGGTCGTCGAACTTTCAAAAGCAAAGAAAAGATATAGAATCCCTTCTATTAAGTACATGTTGTCAGGTTTGCCATCAAGGAAGTCTGGGGACTGGGATGAGGTTGTCATCTATTTGATTTTATTAGATAACATTTAGGGACAGAACCACAAGATCTGTGCATCCTTTGTAAGCTGCTCTGATCATGTTCACTTCCAATCCCTAGTCTTATATAAAGTTATACCTGAGACCATGATTTCTAGGTTAATAGTCAGGGATTTGCCACTCTTAGAATACATATTCTGTGAATAGATGGAAAGAGAATTCTTTGCAATTTAGGAAATTCTGACTCATATCTGTGCAGTCTAGGTCATGGCTGTCTCTGCTTGAGATTGCCTGTTGAGATAAATCCAGCTGGATGGAAATCTAACCTAAACAAGACGACAGAGTCTCACATTCTCATTCATTAGTGATTGCCTCATTCACATGGTTCTCAAACTCAAGGGAGATGTGGTATGAACTTCCAGAGTACTATCAGATTTTAGTGTTGAAATGGGATGGAAGACGAAAGAGCACGATTATATGCCAAAATACAAAACACAAGCCATTTTTCCCCCCATACCACCACTGAGGACCCACCAGACATGTTTCCATTCTCATGTTTCTTTAGGTGTCTGTCAAGATTGGTTTGTTGACCAAAACATCTATCACATAAGTGACACTTAAATGGTTTCTCCTTGTTGTGGATGTTGCGGACATGTCGCTGCAGATTGGAGGAAATGCTGAATGATCTATCACAGTATTTGCATCTGGAAAGTAAATACAGACACAGTATCACAAACACATTAGAAGATATTTCCTAAGACTTGTGGACCTGAACATTAAAATAACACTTCACATAGGAAAACACTATTCGTATAGGAATACTGCAATTCCAGTAGTTTTGTTTCGTTTTGTTTGGGGGTGGTTTCACCGCTCTCTAATTTATTAGAATACTGAGTTCCAATGCTTTAAATAAATCTCACTAAAACTAAATATATCACAAAGTGATAGCATTGTCTTACATTCTGCTTAATACAACACAATTGAATATTTGCAAGTGAATATTAAAAGTCTAACCAATTTCTTAGCACATTTACCTCTCCTGATGGCAACTATAAAGAAAATTCCATCATTTTTTCCTTAGTGGTACAAAATACTCCAATTTTTAAAAACTGAGGCAATGTAAAAAAATGTGTTTGGTGCTGAAGAGAGTGGTTTTTTCTTAACCTATAGTGACTGGGAATCCCAGAGTCTCACTTAATAATCAAACTGTTACAAAAGCAAGTTCTGACACTATTAAGTCCTCATGGAAGAAAACAAAGGTCTTCACTAACTGCCTGCTCTCAACTTCCCCCAGTTTTTCATTCTGATGTCTATTAAAAAGCTGACTGCAACTCTGAAGGTCAGTTTCCTTAGAAATGGCTCATTGTGCATTAGGTAAGTGTTTCTGATTTGATACAATTAAAAACCCTAAGTTATCTAAAATTTTTCCTTTATTCATAAAATGAAAATGTAAAACTTGGAGACCAGGCTACCCCAGCTCTTTTCTGAGAATGGGAGTGGTTTTGTAATTAATGGAGTTATTTCACAGCACTTGAAGGAGACTATCATATTTTTGAGGTGTGTGTGTGTGTGTGTGTGTGTGTGTGTGTGTGTGTGTGTGTGTGTACATGATATGTTAAAAGAAAATAACCTGACTTTTCTGAATTGCTTCTAGGTAAAACTGTTCAACTTCAAAGCCAGAAAATCCTTCAGTTGTACTTCCATGCGTGATGGGTCCTTCTCCTGCCCTGAGTCTCAATACAGATTTTAGCTCAAGTGCTCTACATTAGAAGTCACCCCATTCATCCAAATCCAAGTATTCGGCCCTTCCTGCTTCCGTTGTGATGTCAGAAATCTAGTCAGGTCAGTGGAAATTAAAATCTGTCGAACTAGTTACTTTGGCATGGTATCAATGAGTCAACTCGAGAGTCCTTGATTGGAAGGGACAACTTCTGCATCATAATGTTCTTTAACATTTCTGGCTGATAATAGTAATAAAAAGGAGTGAAATCCACTGTGACAAGGGTTATTCCATTTTGTTGTCATCATAGAAAAAATGCTTATGGAATAATGGCTTTCCCTGCAATACTTTTATCTCAAAGGCACAGTGCAGAGAGAAATCTTGTGCGCTTAGCACAACCATGTTATACTAAGTAAAGCACATTCAAGAGCCTGGCAGAGAAAATGCAAAGGCTAATAAAGGTCTGAAATGTTCTGCTCATGACACAGACTACATGAATCACAATGGAGAAAGAGTTAGAGTTTCACATGCCCCCATGCTTCTTTTGTGTGAAAGGTCTTTTCCAAATCTACTCCATCATCATCTCAGCTTTAGAAAGAGTTGACCAATAAAGATCAGTGTCTCCCCACGATCAGCTAGCATTTTGATTCTCTTTCCTGTAAGCATATTGAATAGAGAGGCAAGTACGCTAAATTTTAAAGTAACTTTATTCTATTCCAATATATTATCTGGTATTTAAATGACAGCTCAAATCAAGGTTCAAGAATTTTTAAGATGCATGCATAACCTAATTGTAACCCTTCATAACAACATGAAGACATAGGAGACAAAAAAGCTTTGAAATCTGATGTGAGGTGAAAGATCCAAAGTGAAAAGTCCAGCCTGGGCACTAAACTTCATAGAAAGCAGTTAGCATCTAAAGATCTGATTTCTTATTTTTCTCCATTTGTAAAATAGAAGATCTGGGCAAATCAAGATTCCCAGCATTGCAAATACCAGCTTGTATACTTTTAAATACATGTACAGCAACAGCAATATGTATGAAGCAGAATAAGGGTGTTTCATTCAGCACCAAATTGAAGGACCATGATGTCATAGCTGTAGACTGGGACAACATTCAGCTGTAAGAAAATGTGAATATGGAAACCTTTCCATTTAAGCAAAATTCCTAGGTGATAGAATATTCTCCAAGGGGGAATTTACCTAATGTTTTCCATCATTCTATCTCTTAAAGATCTGTTATGTAAAGTTCATCTCGTCACATATAAAGTGAAGTGACATTTATGAGTAGAAACAAAGGGACTTAAGAAAACGCTAATTTTCTGAGTTTCTCCCAAAACTATTATTTTTTGAATAATCATAGGTCTTTCCATGTTTTCATTCGCTCCCCTTTTAAGATGCACATTTTTCATTATATGTAATATGGGAGGGTGGATATGTACATGTGAGTAAAAGTGGCTGGGGAGTCCTGAGGCATCAAATCCCTCTGAAATGAAATTACAGGAATTGTGAACTGTCTTACAGCAAGCTGCTGAGCCATCTCCCCTATTTTGCTTACAAACAACTTTGAAACAAGATAATTTATTGTAAGGAAAATAATAGTGTTCAGGCCAAAACAATTATACTAATACACACTTAAGAATTTCAGAGGAGAAACAAACTATAATGTTGCTTGAGATAAATTCACTCTTGGAGAAAGCCTAACTTGGATTCTAATGCTGAGGACAAAGTATTACACTTAAATAATAAGTTACATTTTAAAAGTAGCCATGTTCATAATTTCATTGTGTTGTAAGCACAGCTATTGCAGTCACATATGGCCTGTGTGTCACGTGGTTAATTTTAGTATTTAACAGAATAAGAGGCTATTGATAGAATTGGCCCCCTTTCCTAGAATACACTATCTATGGAATCTCTACATCTATACTTTTTTTTCCTCTTCTGAAGTTTGAAATGTTTGTTTATTAAACCTCCTGTTGGGATCTGTGGATGATGACTTAATTGTACTAAGGAAGCAGATATATTTGGATGTTACCTCCAGGCAGACTCAAGGCTTAGATGAGAGGAACTTCAGTGTTATGATTTTTGTCAATTAAAATGATAGTCATTATTGAGAAGAGAACACTAAAGTAAAAACATTTTTTAAGGTTGCTAACATCTTTTAAACATGTATATACTACTAGAAATTACCCCAGATGTCTTAGACTGAAAACTAAAAGTCTCATTTGATGAAGAAAAGACATTCCTAATTTTGGTTCTAGCAGACAGGTCTTTCTATTTTGATGCAAAATTTGATTTACATCTAAATATGCACCAAACTATTTCTCATTACACTGTGACCTCATGGCCATTGAATATGACAATATTTATCAAGATATTTAGAAAACCTATTGTCAAACCTGTACGGCTGCTCCCCTGTGTGGGTTCTCAAGTGGCGGGTCAGGTTCGCAGACCTTGGGAAAATCTTGCCACAGTATCTGTGAGGAAAAGATATTTATGAGAGAGTCAGTAGAGTCAAAGCAGTCATATGCGTGTTCTTGACTTAATTAATCCTGCATGCCACTCATATCTCTGTCATTTACAATTTGCAGCAAAGCCACTCTAAAGTTATAAATAACTCTACAAATAAAGGCTGTATTAGGAGGCCTGTTGAATTTGCTCACACTTATGTGAGTACTTTATGAAAAAAGGCATTAGCCTGGATGACCCACTGCCATGAGCCTGTTTTATTAACTTTGTATCTTTACACTCACAAAACTGGATCAGACAAGAGAACCAAAAAAAAAAAAAAAAACAGAGAGAGTTTGTGATCCTGATCCTGGGTTAATGGATATATATTTCAACTGGAAAGAAAGGAACAGTGTGTCCAAAGAGTAGAGAAATAGATTTTATTGAAACAGCACAGATATCTGAGAATAATTGAGAAATCACGGGCACATAACCGAAGCTTTCTCTTTCCTTGATGTGTACTAAGATATTTATTAACCAATGTTACCCATCTACATGTCCTTTGTAAATAGCTTTATTCAAAATTAGGGCCATAACAATTAATTAAATATATTCTTGAAGAGAGCAGTATTCTACAATGGCATGGAAATAATTAATTGTGGAAGAAATGCATTAGCTATCAAAGTGAGACAAGTAGATGATATCTGTATTGTTTCTGTATATCACAGCCAAATGGTCTGGGTTAAAATTCTTTTTAATGATAACTTTTAAACTTTTTTTATATGTCACTAAATAAAGGGCACAATTTATCATGGCTGCTATTGATAATTTTACAAATAATCAAGAATAACTCGTAAAGCAAACAACAGGCTGTTTTGAAACCAAGGGGGAGATTTTGACAAGTCCGCTGTAATTAGGGCCACACACCTGCAGGTGTAGCGTTCTTTCCCCTTCCGCAGCAGGTTCTCAGGCAGGGTATTAGGAGGTGCTCTGAAGCTGAACATCGAGGGCACGGACTGAAGGAGCTCACTGGCCTCAGGCTTCAGGGCGCTGAAGCTCTCTAGCTTTTCTGCCATGTTCTCAATAGCTGACATCTGAAAGGCAGAAACACAGACATTGAGGGGTGTGACATCTTTGCTTCTGCAGTGATCTCTTGATAACCAAGAACATAATCCACAGGAAGACTTCAAATCTTCCTACATGTGATAGGGTCTGAAGGAGACTGCAGGACTTCAGTGCTAAACAATGAGAAAATTGATGGGTATGACAAACAGAGCTAGCTGAACTGCCTCCACAGTAGCCTGCTTAGGTCACATCATAGTAATATGATTGAGCAATGGAATACCCCAAAGAAATAATAAACCAAATCAGATTTTATCTAAATGGCAGCACTGTACTACGGATATCAGTGAGAAACTGAAAATTTTAGGGAAAGGTCCTACCCACCATGACAAAGTAATTATGAATAAAAGCCATGGTATCTCATGAGAAGAAATGACAGCAAGAAAGAACATCAAGTCTTCAAAGGGTGAGCTTAAGCAAAATGTACATAATCCAGAAAGAAAAGTTCAATGTGTAAGAATTGCCAAAGGCTATGTCAAATTAGTATCAGGATAATCCAACATTTTAAGTGGAATTATAGACAAGGAATTTGGTTGAAATGTTCATTTGTCCTGAGCAGATTTAGTTTAAATGAGTTTAATGATATCTTAATATAATATCACATGGAATAGGTATTATCATAAAAGGAAAAGATTCCCATTCTTCAATACACACTCTCTCACCAGGCTCTAATAGTCTCATGCCTTTTGCTTATCATCTACCCACTGGCATATCTGCTCATCAGCTACCCACTGGCATATCTGTACACCATCTACCAACTGGCATATCTATACACCATCTTCCCAATGGCACATATGCTCATCATCTACTCACTTTTAAAGAACAGTATTTTCTTTTTGACTTAGTTTGATTTTTATTCTTTATGTTTACATAGATTCTCCTTTTCCTTCAACTTCCCCAACATGTTGTTTCTTTGGCGCTCATGTTTTATTTGGGAACTCCTTACTACAAAATTTTAAACAGAGAGCTAACTCTAAGGCAATCTTGCTGAATTAATTCATTTGGCTCTCATGGTGCTATATGTATGTCTCAGAGGAAGACATAAGGATCTAGATAGTAACTGCAAATTCAAACAACTGGCCAGTCAAAAGCCTAATTTTTTTTCTAATGAGACATCAAGACAGAAATAAAGATGTACTTTCCAAGATCAAGTTAAAAAGAAAATCTAACACATCTAGCTGAGAAGGAAAAGTAACAATGTGTGCACTTTCTGGATGCATGGCTAGATAGAATATCATGAACATCATAACCTAAAGCCAAATCTCAAACATTATTTTCTTCTTACAAAGGGTATGTTTGTATGTTTGATTCTTTAAATGACTATTCATGTTCTAGTTAGCTCTCTCTCTTTCTTCTTTATCCTGGAACCTGCCCTCTCATTTCATGCCTGGACTCCTAATGCTAGCTACAAATTGCAACGTACAGGGTACCACTGCCAATTTGCCAAATGTCTTTCATCAAACACAGCACATAAAAAAATCTCAGAGGAAAGTCAAGATACATTTACTTGTCAGGAGACAAATGTGAACGCATTGGGAGGCAGTAAGGGCTCTAAGCTCAAGGGTTTGATTCATAATCACTCAGCTGCTAAAACATTCTCCACAGATGCAAGTGGACAGCACATTTGTCACTATGAAGGATTTTGACACATACTGATCACAGGGCAAAGATATGGAATGATGACGCTGCTCAGAGAGGTTGGAGGGAAGTCTGTCCCTGCCGAACACAGTCATTACCCTGTTCCAGCCAGTGTTAGCATGTTAACTTTATTTATTAAAAATCAATTCAGAATAGCTTATGATACTATTTTATCTGCATTTATTTCTTATAATTGTTTCTTGCAGAAAATAATTTTGATAGCCTATCTACCATGGAATAAATTATCTGAGTGAAAAATAACTTCTGGTTTAAAATCTGATTAGTGATAACAAGCAAGGGGAAGGGTCACAATGTTCTCATGCATTTAGAGGACAGAGAAGTAGGTGAATGGCTGGTGGTTATAAATATCTTATTTATGTACATTTAATATTTGGGTAATGTCTCGCTATCAAGTAATTTTAAGTAATTTGAATGTCTATCTTGCTCAAACTCAGATTCCTGCAGCAATTCATCTTGAAGGAACATGTTTCTTCTTTTATGGAAAGCAGCCTCCTTATCACTGTTATTGGTCTCAGCTTTCATCTCTAGCACACAATAACTACAAGTCCTTTATGTTATTTGGGAGCAATTGGCTGCTGAGAAATGTGTCTTGCTTTAGGAGCTGCTAATAGATCCTTTTGAAGGAAGGTCATTGTGCTTACTTCACCTCCAACAGTTTCGATGGAGGGAAAGCATCAAGTAACAAGAAAACATATTGTAGACATCATGGGCACATGATGGCATCCTCAAAATTAGTAGGAAAAGAATAGCTATTACCCAAGAGCTCTTCTTAAAAGCCACACACAGCTTTGACTTCTACTGTCAAATAAAAAGAGGATAAAATGTGGATAAAGAAGGAGAAAGCAAGACGATGGAAGTTGAACTAAGCATTAAACACACATATAAACATATGTATACACAGGCATATACATACTCACACATATTCATACACACACACACACACACACACACACACACACACACACACAGATTGCTTAGTTAGACACCATTGAGAAGACAATGGTCTTCCTTTACACTTCCTGGGATTTGCTCTTAAATTACTTACTCTAAATTTGAATAACTAAGTGTTCCTGTTTGAATAAATAGAAGTAATTTAGACACCATCTAGTTGCATAGTTTAGCAATTCTGTGACCCATGCCTATCTAGCCCATTCCTTAGACTGATATTGGGTTATTTAATATATGGGCCAAAGTCTCGGCTTTCTCTTTTTGTCTTGTCTGACTCAGACTCATGTGATGTTCCTCCAGAAGAAACATATATAGAGATAATACATTTTGATATTCATTTTAAAGTCTGACTTGGTATTTTTAAAAGTTGAATTAAAATAGGTTTAATATACTAGAATATGGCTAGATAAAATTTATACTATTTAATTAGAAAAAATCAAATAGAAATTGTAAAATGATGAATAAAAATTTAGAGTAACTAAAGGAAAGAAAATACCCACTGTATATTTTAGTAATATAATGCCATATGACCCATTAATATCTCAGACTAATCTAAGATCAGCAAATGACAGATTTTTTTCCAATGGAGTAGTAATTTTTATTTGCACATATATAATAGCTGTTGATAGTATCTACAGCCAGATGTCTGGAAAAGGAAGTTATTTCTCTCCCTTCCAGTCCCCAAGAGACTATTAACTTTATACTGACGCAACTATTTAGACACATTTCCCTAGCTCCTTCCCCAAAATGTAGCTATGCCTCTAGTCAAATAAAGCTAATAATTAAAAAAAAAATTTCTTCAGGCAAAATGTCACCAAGATGAATCAAAGAGTTTAGCTTACTATTTATTATTGGAGTGCCAATAACTGAGGACCTGAGAAAGTTTCTCCTCAAAACTATTAAAGTGATGACCTGATTATGTGAAATGCCTGTCCAAGCACACCATTAATTATGTGGACTAATGATTCCCAATTAGATTACACATTGACTCTACCATAAAATAACTAACTATTCATAAACAACAGGATGGGAAAGTTTGTGGAGTCAGTAGCTTTCTATATTTGTTACTTGATAATCTTGAGAACCTCAAAACCATGGTCATTTGAGGGAGAAGTAAATACTCATATTTTATGTTTATCTCACTTCATGGATCAAGTTCAACAGTCATGATTACAAAATCACTGAGAGCTTATTTACCATCAAGAATTAGAAGCCTGTGTCTTCAGTATACATCACAAATATCTACTTTACAACAACAGTGTAAATCACAGCCTTGAAAACTGACTTGTTGGTAGTATTTCCAGACATTACAGTGGCAACATAGGGGGTTACAAAGGGAGCCTCGCTTGGACTTTGACTTGACTTTGCCAGTGGGTACAATGATCAGTCGTAAACATAGGAATCAACATCAGGAGCTTCAAGCAGTCAGCAATGTGGCAAATGTCAAAGTCACATTGTGCCTTAGAAAGATAAGACAACTGAGAGATGAAACTCAGAACAGACCTCCCCTGGAGAAGACAGAGGAGGAATCCTGAAAATACAGGCCAGAATATTCTAAGAAAAATCACATTGGTTGTACAACTTAGTGTAATTAGAGTAGTGGCATGCATATGCACAGTTTCTCACTGCCTTTCTTTCCCTCTATCATGCTTTCCCTTCACTGTCAATAAATACTTTTGTGCTTTTTAAATATATGTATTTCATTACTAAATGTGCAACAACAGTGAGAAGTTTTCCCAACTCATCACATATTCCACAATAGAGAAAGCTGAGGAACTCCTGGTAAAGAATATTAACATCAGATAAAGCAAATAAATAAGTGCTAATATATGCTGTCTGATGACATTTACATGAAACAAGTGTGACTTTAGGACACCTTAACTTTCCACCATTATCAGAATCCTTATAAATAGGCCATTTGGAGTGGCAATGCAAACATCTCAAAACTTAAAGGAAAAGTTGAGATAAATGTTTCTCCCATCCATTAAGTTCTTTAAGTGTATCCTGTTCCTAACATCATTAGATGAAACCAGATTTGCTTATACATTGTAACAGAAGTTACAAAAATGAGACCTAATTCTGAAAAGTCCATTCAGGTACAGAATCTTAAAGTCTGCTATCTGTCTCCAAACAGTAGGGAACATTTATGCCTTGGGTTAGAAGAATGTGAATTCCAGTGTTAGCCTTGAAGTTTTACCTTACATGGGGCTTTGTCAAAAAATATCTGTAATGTGTTATCCCCAAATAATAATGGTTTCTACTTAGTGATTCATTTCAAAGCTTCCCATATAAAGTCTATATAGTTTTGTGGAATTAATGTGTTTTCACAAATAAAATCATTCCACAAGTCATTTTTAGCTTACTAAATGCCCCCATTATATTGAGAATTAGAATTCTACCGTGGGATGGGGAGGGAAATTGTGTGCTCCAGTCTTATCACTAAAAGAAAAGCTGTGGTTTCTTACTGCTCAGCATTCAGATTAAGCCCTTTTCTTTTCAATGCTACATTACTTTAGTCAAAAAATAAGGAACTTACCCACGTTCTCTGGTCAGGTAGTGGGAACTGGTAGCAAAATTGAAACAGAAAGAGAAAATTACTTCTGTGTTGGATCTTTACTGTAGTCTATCCTTTGAGGAATGAGCATTTATACTAATCTGGTAATTTTTACTTATCATGTAATTCTATCTTGAGTAAAACTTGTAGAAATGAAAATAAAATCTATGGATAGTACTCCCGAGTTTCCTCTATATCCTAAAATTAATCATAGAATCAAGCTTGGTTAGAAACCAGAATTACAATCAATCTAAGAAAGCTACCTAGTGTGTGGTATGGAATCCATAATAAGGAATCGTGTCCTTCTTTTCTTCTTAATCACTGAAAAACTGTGGTCCCAAGTTCTGCTTTTGTGTCTAAGCATCAGGCAATTCCCTGTTATAACCAGTCTGCTGTGTCTCTACTATGGCAATAATATGGAAAATATGGCATTTACTAAAATTGTAATAATTACATAATAAAAGATAATGTTGCTGGAAATTCTGTACTTGACAGATTGGTACTCAGAACACAAGAACATGGAGGAAGGAGTAAAAATGTTATAGTGACTTATGGCAATTTATGGTCACAGTCTTTAGAGAAAGCCTCAGTGACTTAGATGCTATTCCAACGGCTGAAGTTTTTTCCCTTAAAAAGATCACTTAGTTAGGAGATCCATTACATGCTTCCATAAATGTGGTGACAAGTAAAAAATGTGACCATGGGAAAGACTTAAAGGAAACAAATAGAATATGAGTGGCAGAGGATATGTGAGGCTTCCACAGCAGTGCATAAATGATAACTTGGAATACATTTAACTTATTCTCAGCTCCTCAGAATGTAGTAAAAGCATACTCAGGCAATGTGAGTAAGTAAGAGAGAAAACTTAAGGTAATGGGATCTTTGATGTAGATTTAAAAGGTTAAATCTATGAAATTGAAACGTGACAAAAACCAAGGACAGTATTAAAAGTGCAGGAAAATCCAACCATGGGTAATAGCCACTTTTACAACAGTATAATCACCAAATTTCAGTTCAAATGAGCTGTAATGTGATGTGAAATGCCCTGAAAAGCAATCAAAGAAGTGGACAGTCTGTGATATCAGTTACTGATGCAGTCTCTCCATCTTATCTATTTGTGGTCATTCTTTCTTTTTCAAAATTATAATTTAAACTAAAGTACCATGGATAATTTTCAACTGTGCATCTGGGGAGAACTTCTACAGTGCTCAGTACTCCATTTAGTCACATAATTTATTCACCAGATGAAAATAAATGAAGGCTGCACCATCTTCTAATGAGTCTTCTAATGGCCTCAGAGCACAAAGTGCTTCTTCATGCACTGAATGAGGAGATTGGATGCTAAGAATTTATCTCTTAATTTGGACATATGTCAAATACTTTGGCATAATTTAAAACATTGTAATTTTCTAAGAAAGAAGATAAACCTAACAATCTTCAATTAAAATTTAATAACTATCTATTGACTTGTTCACCTATTATTGTCCAGAGATTAGGTTATGAAGAGGGATTGTTTTTAAAATACTCAAAACTAGGGTTCTCCACAGCATGACACTACCCAAACTTGATATATGTGATCATAGTTTTCTAAAACAATTAATAATGTGACATCCTATTTGTTGTGTGGTAGCTCAAGAAACAGACAGTGCAAGAAACACAGCACATGCGGCAACTCTTACATGTGCTTTATAATATTTTAAATGGGAAGTAAAGAACCAAATGGCCTTACCCAAGCATTTATTTAGCTGTAAAATCATGGAAAGCCCTGATAGTGGAGGCCAGTCCCTTGTGTTGACTCGTGACATCTACAGAGTAAAGTCATGCTAAGGGCACAATAGTCATCTTTCCAAATAGCCCTAGGTACAAGGGCAGCCATGATTAGAAAACCATGGCTAAGAAAGTAATATTGGGGCATATGAAGATGGTATTTTACAACAATGACTTTATACTCACTGTGTGCATTCATTCATGAGTCTCTATTAGGTCCTTTCAGAGACCACGCACAGGGTCAAGTACATCCTCTCTGTAAATGTTGCAATTTAGTTACCCTTTAAGGCCAAGGGGCCTCCTATTATACATAAAGAAGTGAAGAGTGTTCCTCAAACCAAAACACTTTTGCTAATTACAAGTAGTAGTAACATCTTGTGCCTCAATTACTCCTAATACCAAATCCTTGGATTTTATTAGTTGAGGCTAGAATAGAATTGAGAGTATGAAAACAAAGCCAAACACCCTGGGCATGAGTAGTTTTCTGAAAGAAAACTGACCTCTCCAAAGACCATAATCTTGGAGGAAGAACTGAGCTGCTCTTCCATGTACCCTAGGAATTCACCTGCTGAGTATTACTTACTAAAACCACCGGATCCCCCACAATAGTTTAGAAATAGCTCGTGAATTAAGTACCCTGAACATCTACCTTCTCTTCTCCTCCAAATCCCCTGTAGTGACTTACTGCCCCTCACATTGGCATTATATAGAGACCTGTTCTACAAGGTGGGTAAGAAATAAACTCCCTCTATGTTCCCACAAGTATGCCTGAGTGAGTCTGTAAGAGGGGACATCTCTGTACTCTGGGCAAATCTCTTATCTGTTTTATCCTTTATTCCTTTGAGAATTCTAAAATATAACACATTCCTTCATATTATCATATTAAGTATATGAAAATCCCATATTATAACATTCCTATATGGTTTAATTATTGATAAATGAACTTACCATTTTATCAAGTGGCACATTTACCAAGGCTAGCCATAGTTTTTAGATGACATCGGCATCTTGAAATCAACTCTCCTAAAGAGTTTTCATAGTGAAGAAAACTAAAAGCCAGATAGACCAAATTGCTCAAAGACACTAGACCCTAGCCCCATTTTTCTTCATTCTATCATGACTGATAGCACTCAGATTTAAAGTGCTTAATTACTAGATTTTTTTATATTATCAAAAATGCAAGCAATTTTATCACTATTACTAAATGTATATACTAATAATATTGCCCCATGTACATTTGATTTATAATTAGGAAAGAAAATATTAAGACAGTTGTATTTTAATGCAATATCTGAAACATGGGGCATATTGTATTTAGGCCTATTAGCCCATGAACCCTTTCAAGTGTGATTTAGGTCTGTATAAATATCAAATATTTACTGATAGACATTTACTGCCTCAGCACTTGGGTCATTTCCATGCAGGGGTTATGTAAACAGCATCAGTCCTTAGCCTTTCTATATAAAAATCCATGATGGAATGTTTCTGAACTTTTGATAACTAAGCATATATTTTCTCAATTTGGATTAGAGTGAGAATTTGGAGGAAAAATAGATTTTATAACTAAAACTGATGTTTCTATCTTTGCCATCATACTCTTGTTTGGATATTAAAGAAGACCACTGAAAAAGTGAGGACAGAGACAGAAGGTAAGATTCCTATCCCAAGACAAATGAATTTATTTATCACAATAACTGAAGAGATTTTCACTAGTTTAAATTAGAGGACTATTGTTCATTACTTGGACACACTACAACAGAACAAATTTATTACTAAATTGTCAGGCATTTTCATAATATCTTTGGTATCTTTAAAGATCAGAGCTTGCATCGTTTTAACACAAAACAAAACAAAATGAAATGTGAGTTGTTTTTTTTTAAAAAAAAAAAAAAAGAAGAAGAAGATTCCAGACATTATGGTTGCACTTTCAACACAATTCTCTAGCTGTGGATTGATATGTAAACCAGTTTTCAAAAACATAATTAAATGGGTGGCAATGCAGAGATGAGGCAGTCAGATAGCACTGTTCAGCATGCCCCTCTGCAAAGAGAAACTGTATGTATTTTGATAAATGGGCCTGGCTCCATTCAGTAAATAGCTCTGTGTATTGTGGTGAATTCTTGTGCAATTACAGACCTTCACTGGAATGCCCAGTGGTGTCTAGATAAATTCCTTCACCCTCTATGGTAACAACTTGTCAGGTAGACTCATTTCCTGTTTTTATCTAAGCACTAAAAGGACAAGAGTGACCTTCATGAGGTTGGGACAAGTTGCAGTGTGATCTATATCTTTGTATCAGGAAACTTTAAACACAAAAGATAACTTCAATATTTACTTCCTTAACTGGGTTCTAGTCACTCTAGCATGCACTTTAGCTCAATAAATAGTTAAGGCACATAATAATTTAACACCCAAACTATGTTGTTTTTACACATATACTGATGACTTTTTCTTTTTAAAAGCTTTGGTTTTAGTCCTGCTAGAATTTCCTGTGTTCTTCCACAGCAGCGTCATAGGAAATCCTAGTGTTCTTAAAGTTTCTTTCATTCCATTGCACCTGCTTTTCGGGATCAACAAGTTAGTTTACGAGCTTGAAATCTCAAATCCAGAATACTTACTTGTGGGTGAAATAAGAAGCCTGGAGAAGGTCTCAAGTATTTTTCTTTCAAAGCTTCAAGTGGGTCGGTGAGCTTTCTTTTCTCTACTCTGAAAGGTTAAAATTAGATTTGGGAGGTGAGTCAGTCTTGCATGTCAATCACAGCACAGTCACTGATGTTCAACACAGCAAAGCCAATGGAAGTTTTCTTTGAACCCACTAGAAGACCTTTGCTGAGGAAGGATACATCAGGCAATTCTAGGTGCTTCATGGGAGAAAGTCCCCTTCATAAAGGAAAATCCTACTCAATGACTCAGGTGGCAAAGGAGTTTGAAACCTGCAGAGTTTCTGAGTTACAGGCATCTGTATAATTTTGGGACTCTTCTGTTTCAGACATGGCAAGAGTGTCTGAAGAATTTGAAATGATTGGGGAGAAATAGGCTAATTTAATTGAAGCCATTTTCTACCAAAAAATTACATCCCCAAATATCCTCTGTAGTTCTCCTAAATATGCCTGTTAGGAATAAGAGAACTTCTAAGTTAACTAGTCACTGTGGCAGATATTCAAGATATGCTCAGTTATATACATTTATATGTAACATATATGTGAAATAGCTATTCTCTCTCTCCCTTTCAGAGGTAGGTAAGAAGTGGGTTCAGAGAAAATGATAAACATGTTCCACATCCTATTTGCAAATAGGTATAGATGGAAGTGAAATGAAATGGATTTCACCAGCTATTGGCAATTATCTTTTAAAAACTTTTAAGTAAGTATACTTTTAAACTATAACTGAAAGCCAGACATAGGGAGCACTTGTGAAATGGAAGAAGGGGTTAGGAGCTAAAATTCATTACTACATGGTGAGTTTGGGGCCATTCTGGGCTATTCAAGAATAAAACAAAACAAAAATGCTATTAAAACAGAATAGCTATGAGTTCAAGACATTTTATTTATATTATGTTTTACATATACTATTTTCACTATTGAAGTAGACATTAGGAGGTCCACTTCCAGGTGAAATATCTGGAGGTTGCAAAACTGAGCTCCACCGCACAATGGCATGTTAGAGCTAACTGGGTGTTAGAACTTTTCATAACAAGTTTCTCTTTCATAAAATGAAAGGACTGGAGCCTTGAAATGGAAGACAGAAAGCATGGGCTGAGGGTGGTCACAGGTGATGAAGATGACACAGTAGATTTTTTTTTAAGTGTTGGAATATGTAGTTGGTAGCACAAGGCCATTTTGGACCTTGATCCTCCAGCCCCAGCCTCCTAAATACATGTTACCATGTCCTTCGTATTGCATTCCTCGCTTTCTCTTGTTGAAACAGTGATAGCCCCTTTCATGTACTAGCAAACTCTCCACATGCTTTGTAGATAATATGGGTAGAAGGCATTGACTGATAAGGACTTTCAGTTCTAGCACTTATCGAATTAGGGGACATCCATCAGTATTACTGAATGAAAGAACAACACCAATTCTCTTCATTCAGAAATATTGGATACAACATGAAAATAACCCTATTTTAAATAAGTTCAACAAAAAGTCACATGTTCCATGACATCTTGAGATATTCAAATTTTTAATTAGAAGGTAAATTGAAAATTCCTGTAATATGTAAAAGGTGTGATAAACATAAAGGTTAAAGAAAATTAATATTTAAAACCAAATCATTTTTAATGGTGGCTATTACAGTATACTACTGAAACACATTTTACTAAACATATGCTTTGCCTATACAATTCTTACATATAGTAAAGGAAACTGGATAGTGATGAGATTAAATGGAGACACATTTAAAGCAACTTACTCTCTCTATATACAAAGCTGTTTTGTGATTAATATTTCACTTACTGGGATTCTAAGAGATTTATTTAGAAAAAGAATGTGAGTAACACATACTTAAGATATGTCAGTGAGTTAAGAAAGAGGAGACTGGCTGCTCTAGGTCTCCTGTTATTCTAAATAAGCAACCCATTTACATGGCCATGCATTTCTGGGCTAATCCTCCAGGAGCCTCATTCTTCTGCCACTTGACAGCTTGCTTTCAAGATGACTTTCTCATATTTTCCACTCCCCAAAAAATGTTTAAAAATAAGTTTATTGTCAAAATAAAAAAATTCTGTGGGCCTATTCCAAAACACCATTTTCAGAGATGTCCAAAAATAAGTCCAAACTTAACCTGTCAACTTCTGAATAGAAGTTGATTTCTCAAGATTAGACCTCATCCACCATTAATAATGACAATAACAATAAGTGATCTGGAAGAAGACATACTGATACAGTGTACAGTCTCTGTTTCATATATCTGTTTCATCCAGCAACCTCTCCCATCATCCTTACCTATAAATGGGGTCCATGAAGAAGGGAGTAGGTCTCGCATGCTGCAAGGAGCCATCTGAAGTTGATCTTGCTTCCATGTTGCTTCCTTTCTTTTCCCCAAATACATGGTTTTTCCGAGGCTCAGCCAGCTTTGTCCCACCTGCTCTACTCCTACTGCCCATACTTAGATCCAGGGGCTGGTCTTGGCTTGTGGCAGGTGTTGCTGGAGGCTTCGAGGGGACTGAAGTCAAAGGCTTCTCATCCTTTCGCTTAGTGGTGAGGTCAAAAGGGGACTCAGAGCTTCCCTTCTGCAGTTTCTTTACTTCACTTGGTGATTGGGGTTCCATTTTCAAAGGTAACGACCTCAAGTCTCTATCAGGAAATGGGTACATTGATTGAGAGAATGCTGGAAAAAATGGGAGGGGAAACATGGAAGGGTAAGGTAACGCTCCGACTTTTTTGTCTTGCAGCCCCACCAGTCCTGTGGAACCAAAGTATTTTTCAGCAATAGACGCAATAGCCTTTATAGAATCATTCACAGCTCCTGACACCGCAGTTTGCTCCTCTACAGATGCTGAGAAAACGGAATGATTGCTGTATTCTTTCTTATTATTTATTGAAGCCAGATTCTGCAGAGGGCTTACTTTGTCTTTGAACATTTTACCATTTTCTTTACATTTCTCTTTATCACTTTCAAGGTCACTTTCCAGATCAGAGCCCGAGGTTGTCTCCAGGTCACTGCCACTTGGTGTACTGACATCATCAAGGTCACTACTCTCTGACTGGTCACTGATTTTCTCAAGGGGCCTCTCTTCAGAGGACCTCTCGGGCAGCAGTTCCACTGGCTTATTGTCCCCTACAGGTGGGTGTTTAGATAGTGCCTTCAAAATATCCTGTGTGGCTGGCAGTATCTGAGGATGTGTCAAGAGGGGACTTTGACATTTGTTTGACTGTTCAGTACTTGATAGTCCTTTAACAGGAGGACTAGCAGGTATCAGAGGAGGCCTGTGGTACAAGCCTGAAGGAAACAGACCAGGAAAGCTAAAGGAAAATCCAGGAGCTGTTGGAAAGGTAAGACCAGCAGGATGCCTATTGGTGCCAAAATAGTCAGCCAGGCCCGGGTTGGCATGACTCATATTAACCATGGACGTTTTATCCATAGCTGGGGTTCCAGGAAGTGAAATGCCTTGGCCAAAAAATCCACCTGCCGCAAAATGGTTCTTGCCCTCACAAAACCTCCTGTGTTTATTTAAGGAAGACGTAGTGCTGAACATTTGTCCACAGTCTTTGCACTTGATTTGGGTTCTGCAATCAGCATGCATGCGCTTATGACGACAAAGGTTTGAAAACTGAGTATAGGATTTATGGCAGACCTCACCTGTGTGCAAACAACAAAAAAGAGTCTCAGGCTTTATGACAATTGCTTCTGAATTCAGCAAGTATCACAAGTGGTTTACCCAGAATAGTTTCGGTTAGGAAGCCAGGAATAGAAGTTTGGAGTCACCAATCTGGATGCTCTGAACATTAAAAAATACCCCATTTTACTAAATTCCAACTGACAAATGTCTGCAAAGCAGCACAAACACTTCACAAAGAGAACATAAATGTTTCCCACCCCGGCTGTACAATATTTCACATAATATTTGGGTGTTTAAATATTTGTGGAAAATTCACATTCCAGAATGCAATGCATCCCACACCCGATTGCTAACACTAGCAGGATCTAAAAAACTAAAGATATATTAAGCATGAGAACTTCATAGCACTTCTAACATCCTATATTAGAGGCATCAAGATGGAGTAAACAACCTTCCCCTTATCCACATACTTCACCTTTATCACCTCTCCCTGTGGGGAACGGCTGAGGCCACTCTCCCACTACTTCATTAGTATTATATCATGCACTCTCATCATTCACACATCAAAGCCACACAACAATGCACATTGTGTATTGGGAGACCTTTTTAACAATCATTTTCATGATTTGAGAAAGACTGACATAATTTACAATGGCTCTATTTTAAGCCTGCAAAGGAAACTAAATTGAATGTAGCCCATCCTGCATTGCTGGTTCCCATGAACTATGAGCACGTCCTCTGACTTCCCCTCACACCAGTGGTTGTGCTAACCTTCCTGCACATGAAACCCCCATCCTTGGGAAACATGCTCACTTGTGGCTGTATCTTCCTTGGTTATCTCAGGGCTTGACTTCTGTGTGTTATAGCCAAGTATGGGAAGCAGAGGGGAGGGCTGTGAAAACTCCGATCCTGGAAGAACCCAGCAGCCAGTGTGGTACTATACTATCCCCCTCAACCAAGAATTTGTCGATAAAGTAGCGTGTCCTCTTCTCACAGATGTGCCAATATTTCTAAGTATATTTTAAGGTCAAACTTTGTAACTCTCAGTCTTTCAAGTGATACTTTACTCAGTTTGAGTCTTGTAGGATTATAATATCAAATTGCTAATCATCACACCTTTTTTTAAACTTTACTGTTGATGAGTTACTTTATGTGCCAGCTTAATTTAATGCCTCTGTTCATGTTTTATCCATGTTGAAATGTGATATACTTTGCTGGTAATTGTTGAAACAAATTGATTTCAAAAATTTAAACACAAAATTCAACAGTTACTGCTTTCAAGTGATGGCTGGCTGTGGGTGTGGAATGGTTGAGTTCAACACTTGAATCAAACCAATGACAATTTTTAAAACAGTCCATACAAAGGAGATTTCATAGAACTCAGTCAAGCTAAACTCACTGGAGCTTTGTCCTCTCCCCTCCACTAACAGGAAGTCCTAAGCGATTGCATTTCCGGTTTTTTGCTGATAAAGACTAAATAGTACTGCTGTATATCAGTGTGCTCATTAATAGGAGCAGAGCATTTACCGCTCTGCAGAAACTGTCACAAGGATTTAAGCAGGAAAAGAAAATTGGGGTGCTCTCTTTACAGATTTCTATCAAACAACATTGCCCTGCCTGTTCTAACAGCATTTCAACAGGCTCTGTCAACACATGTGCTATTTACACTACATAAAATCTCCAGAGTGGAGGGATCAGACTTACACATGATTGTATTTTTGTGTTTCAGTTATGGACAATTCCAAAAAAGTCTTGATATATTATTTTATAGAATGGAGCCAAGCACTCATATGTGTGTGTGTGTGTGTGTGTGTGTGTGTTTGTGTGTGTGTGTATGTATGTATGTATATATATGTATATATGTGTTTGTGTATGTGTATATATATTATTGGAATCATAAAAATATACTTTAAAAAATCTATCGTTTTGGCATTAAGGTACTATGAGAAAATTCTTAACAGGCAGTCAATCAATTGTAAAGGCATGGGTTGCAATGTTTTATAAATAAAATGCTGTTCTCTCATCTTCTTTCCTATAGCATGACAGCTTTAAGAAAATCCACAGTGTCTGTATTGGAATAACAGAAGATGTACTTGACTTGTCTGTCTGGACCTTTTGTTACAGGTCTGTGTCTGGTCTCAAAACATAGAATCTGGGTGTTTCCTTGGTAGGGAGCATTGTTTACCAGTCTTGAAGGCTTGGACTGATACATCAATAGCCAGGCTCCAGGTCAATGGTTCAACTGATGTCAAAGTCTACACTCAACTGTAATTTTCTCAGGAACAAGGAATTAGCCTGCAGTTAACATGGCATCTTTCTCCTTCTTAAACAAATTAAGAGGTATTTTGAATATACTCTGTCTATTAGAGCATGTGGTTTCTATTTGGGAGGGCTGGGGATTGCTCTAAAGGCAATGAGTAATTACCTTAGCGCTAGGGACCCTGTGCTCACTGTAATAAGAGACAGTTGTCATAAACACACTACTGGGGCCAGATCATGGTGTGTGGCCTTTGAGGAGGAAACAGATAGCAGCCATAGGTGAACCTCCACCCTTTCTGTCTCACAGCCACTCCTATATTTAAATCCCTTTGTTCAGAAATTGCATGGCCATTATTTGTAATTACTCCATGGTTCACTGTCAGATTTGATATTTGAAGAAAGTCATCTGTTATTTAAATTTACCAATAATTGCTGAGAATACATTCAAGGAAATATTGGATGCAGTCTGAATAAGAAAAAGCAATCCGTGATACTTGAAAGTGGAACAGTTGACTTTAACGTGGTTCATAGCACAGACAAGTGCTGAACAATGGAGTCTACGCTTTCTGACTTCTGTTTTTAAAAATAGAAAAGGCATGGAATAGGTGATCAGAGTTCCTTGTAATTTATTCTGCTCTTCTCACCAAAACATAAAATTTACCAACATTTATTTCTGATGAGTCTAAAATAAATTAACTAATAAAGTATGCTTACAGCACTTCCAAACAGGCTTGCCAGGAATTGTGGCCTAGAGTTCTTTCTTTCTTTCTTTCTTTCTTTCTTTCTTTCTTTCTTTGTTCCTTCCTTCCTCTCTTTTTTCTTTTTAGACAAGAAATCTCAAATTCCTGTTGTATATGTAATTTCCCATGGTTCCATCAGAGCTTCCCCAAGAAGCTCAGGGCACCCTTTGTTTATCTACTGGTTGTCTTCGCTCCACCCAAGGAACAGAACATCTAAGCAAAACAGGACTCTCTTGTACACTAGAAAAGGAAAGACGAGAACTTCTTGGCACTTGGAAGCACAAAAGAAGGTTGTGTCAAGGCAAAGAACAGGACAGTTAGTCTCTGGCAACTCCACGTTGGCACAGAAAATTAGGTGTTTTGCCAACAGGTTTTGTAGTAGTGTCTCGGATACCTACTGCAAACCATCAGTGCTTGTCAAAATAAATAAATAAACAAACAAGCCAAGGAGAGATAAAACTGGTTTTCATGGAGTTCCCAAAGCAGAAAACCAGAGACGTTGCCAGGTGCTGGTAAAGATTCAAAGAATCCCACCCACATCTGGATCAAAATTTAGTTTAGAAGTTGGTAGCACAGCTCACTTCTTCCCTGTATTTACACATCCACCAGAGCAAGGGAACAAAGAGCCCCAGAGCTGCTGCCTAGATGAACTAAGAACAAACGGTTTGCCTTCTGAATTATTGCAGCACAACCCAGAAACAGACCTGCAGGGGCGAACAAAAGAACTGAGTTTTCCTTTCCTTGAAGTGTGCTACTAAAGTGCTTGGTCTGGGGTGTGCCAAGTAGGTGGGCAGAAGGGATGTCCCCTGAATGCATGCAGCTTGTAAATCTGCTTGAGTGCAGGGGGTGGGATAAAGAGTCTGTCCAGCATCAAAGAGAAAATACTCTGCTTTTTCAAGTGGCCCAGAACTACCCATCAGCAATGGACGCAACAGGCAGAGGAGGAGTAGGAAGCATTTACCCCCTCCACACACACTCTCCAGCATTTACCCCCTCCACACACACTCTCCAGGATTTACCCCCTCCACACACACTCTCCAGCATTTACCCCACCATGCACGTATACACTCTAGTACACACACAGCAACATAAGCCTTCTTGTCAGGCAGAGTTCTTCCAGCTCCTTGAGATCCAGAACAGGTTTTTAATCATTTGGTGAAATCTGTTGTTGGCTGTTTTACAAAGCCACGAACATTTATAATGTGAGATAAACCTAATTGTCTTGACTAAATCCTACACCTCGGAAGACTTGCCTTTCGTTATTTAGTGACTTCTCTGTTCTTTACCTGATACTGATTCTATCTAAAAGAAAACACCCCCAAGGATTATAGACAAAATGCCATGGATCTGCTTATAAAATATTTTCTTATAATATAAAATAACCCTTCTAGTTTGGATCACAAAAAGCTAAGAGGGCAACCCCCTCCCACCCACAATGGCTGCAGGCAGCCATGCTTCTGAGTGCAGAGCCTTTTGAAGAAGAGATAGATGCAGAGGAGGCTGGGGTGTTTCAAAACTTACAGATAAAGGGCTTCACACTGCTGTGGATGTGCTTGTGTTGTTTGAGGCCTGACGAAGTGGCAAATGTTTTACCGCACTCCGGGCAAGCATGTGCCCGGGCACCGACATGTTGAGACCGAATGTGTCGCTGAAGGTTGCTAGGGTCCGTGAAAACCTGCTAGGAAATGAGTACTGATTAATCCAGAAACTTCCCTCAGAGATACAAGAAAGAAGACCAGCAATATCCCAGGGCAAAATTTTCTTTGTCTTGTTTTTATTTGTTTTCACCAAAGACCAAAATAAAGCTGTATTTCCAAAGTGCAAGACACTCCTTTAAGGAAGAAACCAGAAAGTACGAAGCTCTCTCCATTTATAACAGGTTATCCATTAGTGTCACTCATTGGACCACATAATGAATAAACTAGCAGCCATAGTCAAGGCCTTTTGAGTAACCAGGGCTAAAGATTAAATTCTGTCCAGGCCATTCTTAAAACTACACTTTAAAATAAGGACACATTGCACACATGATTTGGAAGATTTTGATGAAAGCACCCCAAATCAATTTAAATAATTTCCCTGAGAAGTTAAACTCAAACACAGTGTTTCTTCTGCATGTTTCTGGCAATCTGGAACTTCTCCTTTAGACATTTCACTAAGTAAAAAATGAAAACCCAGTAGCACATTCAGTAATAAAATATCCTTGAAGACTATTTCAAATGTCCCCATTTCCACTGCCACAAAAAGCTATGGAAATAGAAAGCGAAGATTCCAAAACAACTCTATTTTCAATGTAAAACAAAAAAAAAAACCATGAAAGTTATGAATGGCCATCACTGTAGCTAACTCTGTGGCCCAAATGGGGCACCATCATGTCACCCGAGTATTGTGCAGCACTGACCACTAAGACAGAGGCCCTGAACTGTTCAGTGAGAACCATGCTGTGATTTCAAGAAGGATGAGATGGAAAACCTGAACAAATCAGAGTCTCCCGTTGTTCCTGAATAAGTATCCAGAAGCCTCCTGTGACTTTCCTCACAAATAGTTATTAAAAGAAAAAAGTAACACACGTTGGATACAGTTTTCATTACCCAAGAGGCTATAAAACAACTACACATTGGCAAGTCAGTAGCAGAAGCAGGAATTTACCAGGGATGTCTCACACCTAGTTCTGTAACTCAGCATTAAGCTTCAATACCTCCCAGACAGAAATAAAAGGGCACCCACCACTAAGTGTTTCTATGTGCTCTGCTAATGCCAGAATACAACACTCAGTCTATTTTTCTGAAGGTATTTATAGTTCCCCATTTTAAGGTTTTTTATATAGCATAACAACTGATGGACTAAGAGAGAGGAAGTTAGGAAGAGGTGAGTAGCCTCCAAATTCACTGTACCTTGGCACAGTTTTCACACTCATAGTGCTTTCCACTGTCATGTGACATCTGGTGGCGAATTAAATTGGACTTCCAGTTAAATGCCTTGGGACACTGATCACACTTGTATTCCCTCTCCTCCGTATGTGACAACATGTGCTTCTCCAAGCTGTTAAGAGAACAATTGATTTAATAAGATGTGGTGACAAGGAAACATTCATAAACAGAATTCTACTTTATTACTGATCCCCTGGCAAAGAAAGAATTGAGAGAGAAAGACACCCAAGTGTAAAGGAAAGAGAAGAAATAGATTGTGATGGACACATGTACATGTTATGTTTCTTAGACAGTATTTCCCACCAGATCTAGCCCTGCTAGGAATAAATCTAACACAGCTATCAAGGATTGTTTGGTAATTTAGGACTATAATTGAAAGTTATCTATATATCATAGACTTGTGACATAACCTTAATAGCAACGTTGACTGTTGCTATCTACTTCATTCAAATATAAAACATATTAATAAAATGCTTAAGGATATGAGGTAGGTATTTTCTCTAATATATGTAACCTTTAGATATGAAAGTATTTATATATCTAGTCATAGAAAAGAGAACTGAAAGTAACTTCTATTATGGTCCTGATATAGCTGTGTGGGTGTGTGGATACATACACAGGGATACAAGGGGATAGAGAAGAGATGATGACGACGACAGTGGTGTCAACTGGAATGATAAGGGTGGAAAAGAATAGATGGAAGATAGATGATAGACAGATACTTAGATAGATAGATAGATAGATAGATAGATAGATAGATAACTCTTGAACTATTAGGGAAAGCATAAGCATATGGAATTTAAGAAAATATAGTATTGACTGCTAATGGGAGGAAAACATGATTAGAAGTTTCTCACAAGATGATTTATCTGCATTTTAAAGTTTAGATTGTTTTGTTTTCTTGAGATTTTGGCTCCCTTTTCTAAGTTGGTACATGACCCTACTCAAATACAATGAAAAGCAGGTGTAGACAATGTCTGTATCTAGCAGACACCTGCAATATTTTTGTTTATTAACCACATCGTCAGTGGCACACTAGCATACTACACTCATGTACAGTAGCGGGAGCTCCTGGGAATCTTAGGACATTTCCATTCTGATTGAGCACACAAGCTAGTTTCTCAACATTTTGTTATTACAAATAGCAATAAAGTGACAGATGATCTCAAGAGAAATTAGGATGCCAATTTAAAAAGATGTTCATTGTCCAAAGGTAGTCCATGTTAAGCACCAATAACAGTGAGTCTTTTAACAAAAAGAATATTCAAAATATACAAACAAAACCTTGCCAGTCACCCTAATGGGATGATTATTGTGAAAACCGGAAGACAAAGGGGAAAGTACATATACATTTAATGCTTTCCCTAAGATGTAAAGTTTATTTTAGGGTGGCAAAATACACAATAAGGAGTTTTCTACACAGAATTAAATAATCCTTATAATAAATGATGAAACTGGAGTTCTTCATTTGTCACTAATTAATGAATGAATCCAGGTAATCTGTTGTGTGCTCCCTGATATAAATAAATGATAATGTCAATGATGCATGCTGTTAAACCAATGAACCTAATTCCCAGTCAAGGCTTAGGATATAATGATGCCTTTATGGACAATAGAAAGAAAGAGGGAAGATGTTAGATACCACCAAGGACATATAAACAGCAGAATTTGCAAGGAAAAAAATTTCCTGAGAAAATATCTAGAGAGAGGTAGCCTGAGAGGAAGAATCTGACAAGAAGGACACTTAGTAGATTAAAGTGGACATAATTCTGTCAATCAACTGTAATGTATGGAACTCCTGTTCCTAATAATCCTAAAAGCTCTAACTATCAGAATGATAATGTCAGACTTATTATTTATAAAGTACACTACCAAAACAATGTTATAAAAGTCTTAAATTTCTATAGAACATCCTGACATATGTGTGTTAAACACATATTAAGAATATATATATTAAGAAAAATATAATGTCCAAAATTTGTTTAAAATACTCCAAAATAGGTAGAGAAGTAACATAACACTGGCTTTTTGTAGTAATTGTGGAAGCCAACACAGTGGCAATTTTTAAATTCATAATTCTCTCAAATTTGCACCTATTTAAAGCATTCCACAATAAAAATGTATTAAAACTGCCAAGAATAAACATTTAATATCTGTCTCATTTTCCTGTGAAATCCATAGTCTGTATTTGAATATCAGTTAAGACCTATCCTAAGAATACCTTGCAGTTACGAGTGGGGTTGGTAAGAGATAAACACCTACTTTCATGTCTTCATAAACTAGAAATGCCTTTCCCACATTTATTCTTCTCTATAGTTTCCTTCCTATTCATAGTAACATATGAACTCACTTTGAGGCCCTGTGAATTAATCCTGTTGAAAACACTGATGTTTGACCACAGGTGATGATATCTTAGTGAAAACAAAGTCCCTGATGGAGCAGGGATGTGGTGTGGAAAGGAAGACCCTATCTTTGTCAGCAATAGACAGTCCTCTGTTTGTTAAAGAAGTTGAAAAGTTAATGTATGAGGTAGGGCAGATGGCAGTAACTGCACTGAACATGGTCTGGGTCAGGGGCATCCTTGGAAACAACTGCAGTGACAGAGATTGTCTATCCTCAGTAGCCAAGGAGGGCAAGACATTTCTGATACACACTGCCGTATGTGGAACCCTTATCCTTGAGTCTCAGAGGAGAAGACTGACATGTATTCTGAGTCTTATTCTTTCTAAATACAAGGGTGTGGTCTACTTTCAAGAGAATGTTGTGAGCACATAGCACTCACTAGGGGATGACAAAGCAACTGACCATTTTATTCTTCCCTTCTCTTGTGTACCATAAGATCTCTACTATTTTATAGTGTTATCACTGTCAACTGCTCTGATTTTAAAAGAGGGGGCATGGACCATTTAGATAATTCAGTTTCTTTCTAGCACCTACATAAAAAGGCTGACATTGTGGCACACACTTGAAACCAAGAATAGAAGGTAGAAACAAGAAGATCCCTGGGGTGAGCTTGCAGGCATCAGCTGGCCTTGCCTGCTCAGTAAGATGCAGGCCAAAAAGAAACCCTGTCTCAGAATAAAAAAGAAAAAAATGGTGACAGATTCCAGAGAATGATAGCCAAGATTTATCCTGTGTCCTCCTCATGCATGTTCATATAGCAACACATACATGTGCACAGGCACATGTACCCCACACCCTCATAGCCCTCATGAGCACATCCAAAAGGAGGAAGGGAAGCAAGTCCTCAAAAAGCAAAAGTGCATTGCTTCCATAAGCATAGAGGCACTTCAGCTGGTCCCTGATTGGACTCCTATACTTTTCATACAATTTAATAATGGTTTGTGGAGCTTGATCAGCATCCCATATTCTGGACACACACCCACACACACACCTCTGGATTTGTCTCTGAACATAAAGTTGCATTTTGTAGCACAGTTGTCAACATGTTTTTTTAAGGGAGGCCTCAGTGTTGTTTCCTTCACTCAAATAAAAAGGCATTCTAAAATTCAAAGGGCTATGCAACACAAATATGACACTTAGATTTGATATTCATTTTCTTAAAGATAAATATTAAAGCATTGCTTCATTTAGATTCCTATCCTTTAGGTGCTATCCTTTCCTTTAGAAAATACTACAGTAGTAAACTGAACACATTCTTGTTCTTTTATAGATGTACAATTTGATGATGAATTTGAATTAAATCCTTGAGGTATATGGCTCCATCAAAAAGTATCTTCTAAAGTCTAGATTTTTACTCAGTTAAATGACTTAGAAGTAGCTTTACTATTCTTGGCATATCACTACCTATTTTTTTTCTCAAAGTCATCATTTCCCATAAAGTGAACCCTTCAGTTCACAATAACCCAACTTAAATTATAACATCAATAGGCTAGAGATGTCACTCAATGATAGAGCCCTTGTCTAATGCAGTCAAGGCTCTGGTTGGATCCCTAGGTTTAGGAAGAAAATGGGGAAGGGGCAGGGATGAAAGGGGAAGGTGATGGAAGGAATATTTTCTGTTTGACAAAAAATGACCCATGTTCACTGTAGTTATCTTGTGAAAAAGAAGTTTGAAGGAAGCGATGATCCCTGAACATGCCACCAGCACATCTGGCCAGGTTTTTGAAGCTCTGATCTTCCCCAGAGCAAACTTGTCAAACTCCAGGCTAACAATTTGCTGCAGAGCAAGCACCCATGTTCAACAGGCTTTTGCTAACCTTTGCAGATCGGGGAAAACTCTGTCACATTCCTTACAGTCCTGGCTGCCATGGATCTCTCGGAGGTCACTCTCACTCTCAAGGTTTTGTTGTAAGTCCTCTTCCACCATGGAGAATGCTGAGTGAGGTGTGCTACATGGGAACTTCTGGTGATCTGCTAGTTCAGCCTTGGATTCGAAGAGCTGGTCACAGTCCTCGCAGCGGTGCTGCCGTTCTTCTGTGGAGACAGTCCGAGTATTATTAGCTAGCACTTTAGGGCCCAGAATCAATTGCCACCATAAACCTGCTGTCTTACTGAGTTACACAAAACATAATCCACAGTTTCTCTTTGGGGTGTGTGTGTGTGTGTGTGTGTGTGTGTGTGTGTGTGTGTGTGTAAGATGTGGGAGGGAATGAGGGAGGGAGGGACAGAGATTGGGGGAGGCTATCTGTATGTGAGTGGACTCACCCAAATACTTGTGCACATGTGGAGGGAAGAGGTTGCTGTTAGATGTCTGTCTCTATTGCTCCCCACTGTGCTTTTTGAAACAGATGCTCTCACTGGACCTGAAGCTCACCACTTTGATGAACTGGCTGGCCTGCAAGGCCCAGGGATACTCCTGATTCTGCCTCTACCTCTGATGGGATTACAGATGTACACAGCCATGCTTGGCTTTTACATAGATGCTGGGGATCTAGGTTCAAGTCCTCATGCTTTGACAGTGAGCACTTTACCCCCTGAGCCATTTCCCAACCCTGGAAGTTTTGACTGCCATTTCTCCCAAGCCAAGCTTAATTTGGAAATTAAAAATAATTTATGTAAAGACCCCAATAGGAATCTGGAAAAATAATGCATTTACTGTGGCTACAATGTGATCTGTTCAAATAAAACTTAACACCTAAACACCTTTGCAGGTTCTAGGGATAGTAAAAGTAACAATCACTACTTATTAGCCATAATCAATTCTCTCAACTCAGCACAGGAGTTTCTCATATTCCTTAAAACTTAAGTCCAAGAAAATACAGGTCTGGTTTTAACCCAAATTTTCAGGTAACAGTACTAAAGCTTGAGGAAAACCGAGTAGTCAGATATGGAGTCAAAAGATAAGTAGCTGTGTCAGAATTTGAACTCACTTCCACTTTTTCTTACATCAATGGCATGCTGCTTGAAAGACACAAGTGTACACAGAGGCCCTGTCTGAGCCACAATTATACCCGTCATTGTCAGTAAACTGTCATTACCTAGAACAGAGCACAGGATGTTTCTAACACCCTTCAAGGCTAATTTATTGTACTCTGGGGCCAGTGGCAATTGGCATGGCTTTGTTAAATAGAAAACAAGAATTTACACTTTAAATTGATAGATATATAAATAGACAGTAGTGGAAAATACAAATAAGGTGCTTCATAAGTCAGAGACAAAGGACACTTTTCCTGCCCTTTCTACTCAATAGCTAAGAGCCCACTCAAAAATCCACAGTCCATGGAGGTCACAGATATGATCCCAGAGGCATTGTGTATATCTCATGAAGCTGAAAAGCACCCATAGTAATGCCATGACACATAGGCTGTTTTGCAGACCTATAACCAAGGAAGACGTTATTCTCCAGTTATTAATTGACTAAAGGTTTTGGGGAAAACATTGTAATCACCTACCAAATTGTGAGACACTTTGCTAGGGAATGAATACACAAGAAACTCAGAGGGATATGCATGAGTGAAATGCTGTGACAAATGAAAACTCAGAAACCCCGAGGGAACTAACTGCCCAACTCAACTAGATTGGAGAAAATGGTTAACAAAGGGCTTATAGTAGGTAAAAGTCAATGAGGTGAGATGGAGATAGTGTGCACTAAGGATGAAGGTCTTGACACTCAGCTCACAGAAGGATCAGGCTGTGGTGAAATATGCCAGGTGTATAAGCCACATGGAAGGAGGGAAAGGATGTTACTGAACAATATTCAGGTTTGTGTTAAGAGGGGAACAGAATTTCACCAGAAGCTGGAAGCAGGGCTATATTTAGGTTTGGTCTGTAGAAGAATTTCCCCCCATCTGCAGTGGTGCAAGTCTAACAGAGAGACCCACCAAGAGCCTGCTACCACTGAAGACATGGGTTTAGCTTAAACCACATCAGTAATGGGTGGTGGTGCAGCAGGGGGAGCAATGGCACCGGACTCAGATAGCACTGTCTTTATTTTGTATGCAGAGATTTACAGAGGATGGATGAAGTCTGCCATCAATTTCCTCTGCCTCACAGAGAGTGGATGTATCTACAGTCAATCTCCTCTGCCTTAGAGACAGAAATCTCAACAATGTTAACTAAAGAAAACTTTTCTGAGGTTTATAACACCATCTATACTTTCAAGATCTATAGTTCCAATCTCATCCAGGAACCCACGTAGAAATGAAACTTACAGGCTGGAAAATGCATGGAAAGAGCTTAAGATATTAGACAACAAAGACACTGCCCTAGAGGCTGACTCTACATGCTGGTCATGTTTTTTTCCAAGATACTTTACTTCCCTTTAGCTTCAGTTCCTCAATCTGTAAAATCAATATGCTACCACACTCAAGAACTTTTAAACTATGTGTAAATGATTAAAAATACAATATATGCAAAGCATATTATATCCAGCATATAGATGATATGGAATGCATATGCTTTAAATTTATTTTTTTAAATATTAAACCTAAATAAACACCTAACTATTCTAATCTTATACATCAGTAGTACATGGTTATATTTGAAAACAGATATTATGCATTGGAACAACAAGCACCTAATGGTTCAAGGATGTTTTGTGGAGAAATATGTATGTATGTATATATGTGTTCATAAATGAGTTTGTAAAAAAAGTGTGTGTGCAGGTGCATGTATAAGTGTACGTGAGTGGACTCCTCAGGTGGCAGTCCTTGGGTGCCACGTACTTGTTTTGTTGTTGTTGTTGTTTGTTTTTGACTCTCACTGGCCTGGAACTCACTAAGTTGACTAAGCAGACCAACCAGTGTCCCAGAGCCTCACCTGTTTCCACCTCTTAATCACTGAGACTACACGCCACCACTCTTAGATTCTTCTACATGGTTTCTGAAGATCAAACCCAGGTCTTCAGGCTTGTAAGGCAAACTATCTTTTTAGCCCCCCAAATACTTTAAACCATGGTTGCTTTAATGATTGGCAGTCTTAAGAATTAAATAATTACTTGCACTTGGGCATTTTGAAAATAGCAAATTAATCATTTCTACTTTAAAGAAAAAAACACTGCTTAAAAACATCTAGGACTCAACAGTAATGTACAAATGAAACATTGTACCCCCAAAGCCCCAGATTACATATTTTTAATAATTAAGCACCTGATATTATCTAAGCAAGGCCAGACTCCACATTCAGGCTCAAACTCCACCAGGCTGACTGGGAAGTCTAGATTTCTAAAGGCAACTTCATGTCAGACTTTCCAATAGGAAAATGTACATCCCAAAGATACCCCTAAACCACCAGGATGCTTTACAAAGAGACAGATGGATCTCAACTATGGGGGACAATGCTTGCATGAAAATAATTAACCATGATGACAGCTCCGTCATAGAAACTCAAAGCTAAGGTCTTCTCTCTGTGTCACTGGAACCTGACTCTGATACTTTCAATTAAAAAGTACTCTAATGTATTTTGGGTTCAACATACTGTGCTGAACCAAGTCACATTATATTAGGAAACAGGAATTGGAAGGAAAAAGAGAAAACATTGTCTCAGCTCAATGACACACAGCAGTTTGTCCTAAATCTGTCCTGAACACACATCACTACTAGCTATATATTTATCTAGAGCCTCCATCTTTTGATATAGGACAGGCTTCTTGCACAGAATAATTCCATTGGCTGTAAAATTTCCTCATCTATACTTTTTAGTCCAGGATCTCTTCCTTCATCCTCCCACACGGTCACGCTGATTAAAATTTTGCTCCTATGGAAGTACTTTCTCAGTAATAGAAATAGAAGTGAGAGAGACAACTGATCTTTTTGTGAAATGTGAAAGCTCCAAGACTGGTGGCTATTTGTGATAACTCTCAAGAAGTGGCTTAAAGCACTTGATACTGTCGCTCAGGACCTGGGTTCAAATCCCAGCACCCACATGATGGCTCACAACCTTCTATCACTCAAGTTTATGTTGTCTAACACCCCCTTCTGGCTTCTGTAGGCACTGATTATATATTGTGCACATACAAACATGCAGGCAGAACACTCATGCACATGATAGATGATAGACAGATGATAGATAGATAGATAGATAGATAGATAGATAGATAGATGAACAATAAAAGCTCTTTAAAGCATGGAAGGATTCTTACAGAGGGAATTGATAAAACTGAAGGTGATAGTTCTAACCAGGTCTTCAAAATCCTTTTCCATGCACTTCAGGTTAGACCTCAGCTAACTGGTTTCTCCATCACAATAGTGACATGCCAACTGCAGAAAATACCCATACTGAGATGACACATTTGTCAGCAAGGACACTGTGAAGCCAAGGAAGCTAATGAAGAAACCACAGGTGTGAAGGGCCCTCTTGGACACGTTGCTGTCTCTAGAAAGTGGCTGGCTTTGGGTGCTGCACACCACACTCACCATGGATGTCAGGCGCCATGGGCTCATGGGGATCGTCTTCACTCTTCATGAACAGCAGGAGCTCTTCCCCAGGAGCTATGTCTGCGACTACACGGTAGAATATCTTCAAAGATCGGGCACAGGTGGCAGGAAAGACAGACAGGAGCAAACATTAACAAAAGGCAGGATACACCAGGGCAGCTGCACATTTTCTCATATTTTAATAAACATATTCCCTTTAATTTTTTATCAAAGGAAATGGTGATTTCTGTTTTCTAAACTAAGAATAAAAAGAAATCTTGTTGAGGAAAAAAATCTCTCAAGCAGTTACAAACTTGTTCCAAATCCTAGTATACAAACTAAATTCCCTAACACAAGTTTTCTATATAGTTGCCTATAATGTTTAACAAAGAACTTTCCCATGCCCGATTTCCTCAAAACACCTAGCAGGCCACACCTTCGAAAGCTGGACCACTCCTGATTATCCAGCAGTGGCCTAGCTAACTTGAGTTGCTCCTAAGTCAGCAAAGGACCCTTTCTCCATGAGATGCTTCAAAAAGAGTTGGTTGGTGGGAAGCAGCAAACTGAATTGCCATGGTCTCTAAGAACAGAATCATAGGAGAGTCCCTTCCTTTCAAACACTACTTTCTACTCCCACCAATGGGAAAGGTGAGCCCCAACCTAGGTCCCGCCCTTGTGCCCCAGCTCCTGATTGCAACTCCAACACACAGGCCCTGCCACTCATGCTCACTGTGTAATCAGGCTTGTGTTTCGGGTTCCTATGCCCTGGCTGTCTAGCTAAGTGGTAAGGTCAGGAAGGATTTAATAAATCGGCGACTAGTGGTTTGGAAGGGTTTGGGGGATGGGGGCTATATGAAGAACCCCAATCTGAAATTTCTAAGAGCTGCCTGTCTTTACCAGGAGCTCAGTGGCAGATGAGTCATGGCCTCCTGCATGTCCAGGCACCAGGCTATTATCACTGATAAGGGAAACATTTAAAAATCTTCAAGATACGAATTTATTTTACCATTAAAATACTACTGATACTTCATCTTATTCTATGGTTAGTTATTAAACAATTTTAATACCAGGTGGAGATTTTGGGGGAAATGAAAGTTACACTGTAATTAGTAAAAACTAAAAAAATAAATAAATAAATAAAAATAAAAATGATAGCCCTCTGCAACACCTGTGTGAATCAGTCCTGTATCTTGTCTTGCATGTTCATCTCTCTCATGCTAAACCTGCATTCTGCTTTTCTGTCATAACACACAAGCCCTTTTACTAGCTAGCTAATCCACAAATAAACAAGATTGTACCCCACCCCCGATATATTCTGAACATCAGAGCAGATGTAAGAGTAAAAACAAAACAATTAGGAAAAATATTAGGAGAAAGTACAGAACACAAATCAGCCAAGAAACAGGAAGAGCAACCTAGAAGACACCGCTTGCTCATTTGAGACTGGCCTCAGACTTGCTCTGCATCTGGTACCCAGGACCACTTGCTCATTTCAAGCTGGAAAAATCTGGGTAAATTGTCTTACAGCATCAATGGAAAAATTCATCCATTTGATACATTTACCTATTTGTTTATCCTTTGAAAAGCTGAAGACCTCACACAAGAGGAGTGTGTGCCTCTTTTTCCCAGCAGGTGGCTCTAAACTCCAGTTGTTTATTTTTATTTTATTTTTTATAAAAAAGACCAGAGCATGGAATTGTGCTAAATTAAAAAAAAAATACCCCAATGAGGAATATTTCCTGCTTAGTCTCTTTCTTGAAAAAAAAAAAGCTTAAGTTCCTTTAAAGAAAATGTCAATCAGGAAGTAGTGTTGAACAACACTGTATTATAACCTTCGATTCCTATGCTTTTCCAAAAGTGAAATGTAGACTATCGTAGAATCAGCTCCTTTTTGCAGTTTCTATTTAAAAGGGACCACAAAGAGAACATGTTCATCTTGCACCCAGTGTCTACCCATCACAGTCTCCTCTGGCTGGAGGCTCATAGATAGGAAGAGCCCTGCTAAAAAGTTACCAGATTAAAAGAAAATCACTGCACATGTATGCCTTCCCTTACACCTTCCAGTTTAAACACTGCTCAGTACCCTGATTCTTTCTTGAGTTCTATTTCCCCTTAGAAAACAATAGATGTCTCTCAACAGTTTGAATCACGTCTTCTTTGGCATCTCTTACAGGTTTAACTTATTAATTTCCTTTGCAACAGCATGTTAACATTTAAATTGTGACATATTAGGACTTCTCAGTAGCTTCTCGGAAATTGTGAAGTTTGAAAGACAATGCAAGCAAGATGGTGAAACAGTGCAATTGTCTCAGCTGGGGAATGCTCCTTGGACACACATGTCAGGCCACTTTAAGAAAGTATTATGATATCTTGATTTCTTTGCAGTCTCCTATTAATCATGTCTCTTTTAATTCCATTTTAGATTTACTCAATCCAATGCGAACAGTCCAAGGAACAAAAGAAAATGATGGATACACTACAACTATATATTATGAAGACAATTCTCTTTGCCAGGACATAGATCACTCGTGTAATTACCCTTTAAGTGTCCAGATTGTCATGTGAAGAATATTGAGTGCATAAAATATAAAAGACATGGAAGAGTGTTGACGTTGGCTTTATTTACTGGAGGTAAAAGGTGACATTCCAGGCCATGAAAGACAAGGCAAAGCAGAGTGGATTTTAACTTCAGGGTGTTCTTTTCAATTTTAACTGAATTTTTATGGTGCTCGTGAAACTGGGGTTTGAAAAGAACTGGCAAACGCCAGCCATAACGAGGGCAAATTCTGGGCATGCTTCCCCATACAGCAATAAGAATGTGCCTTGAAGTCCCATCCTCCATACCCTCACGGGTCCAGTTCTCCTCTCAAGGTGTTTCTGCTCCTGGGATCCTTGCTGTCTGCCCTTCCTTAGGGTCATAGAATTCCTGAAGTCAAGCTTATGCTCTTCCTCTAATCTTAAAAGCACTGAAGCATAATTTGAATGCTTGAGCCCAGAGATGCCTTATCACAACAATAGGAATATATTAACAAGCATTCAAAATAAAATGACCCTTTTTTTGCCTCAAACTGATCGCATGGGAAAATGATGGAACACAACCCTGAATGAACCTCCTCCTTCAGGAAATACCGTGTCTCTATTTTCAGGAAACGCTGTGTCTCTACTTTCATGTTATAAAGACATCTTGTGGTAAATAAAAAGCCGGCAGCAGCAGGAGTAATCAATGCAGGCGCTTCCCAATGTGGATGCTTACAGACACACTGTCCTTAAGACCAGGGCATTCTCAGAGATTCAACTGCACAGCAAGCCTGTGAACCCAGTGTCATCTGAGTTTACACCACAAGGAAAGACATTACTTTCCTAGGGGTTTGCTGTGGAAAAGTATGAGATGATTAGTCTGCTAAATTCCATAAAAGACTTAACAGTCCTCCTTTCCCATTGTAATTGTGTGGAAAAACTTAACAGAGTCCAAGATTAAAATGTCCTGTGTTTAATGCTGAATTCAATACAAGTATAGAAATCTCAAGTGCTCAGAAATAAGTTTCAACTAATTCAAAAGTTGCCGGTTTCCTGTGTTGCTCTCTCCTGTAGAGAGAGAAAGGTCATCCCAGCACAGTGGAAAAGCAACAGAATGGGTCCTCACAGTGTGAGAAACAGGTACATGGAAATTCTAGTAGTTGCGTTTCTAAAACTCTGTGATCTCTTCTAGAATTCTAAGTTTGATAGCTGCTACAAAAGTTCAGAAACAGATGCTATACACATGACTTAAAAATTGAATTTTTCTACTATCTGGGTAGACTGTGTTTTTTTCACTTCCAAGAAGCTGTATTTTTATCTTCCTAAGCATAATGATATAATACCTATAATGATTGATTTATTAACAGAGTTCTTCATAGTCTTTTACTACCAATCTTTGTGAGAGCAGCTCACTAGCAAAATTTCTGGTGTCTAAAAGAATTCTTTACTGTTTGCATAATTGAAAAACAATACCAGGAAGCCTAAAACTGTTCGCTTTTGGTACTGGTGACATTTATAACTTAAGGCATAAATATAATACACAATAAACAGGCATCGCTTACTATAGATATTAATTATTGTGATTAAATTAACCAAATTCTAAAACCAATTCTGAATGCAAAAGGTCCATTCAGGTAAAACAAGGCAGAACAAGGGATTAAATAAACATAGTAGTGGTTTGGGCAGGAGCAGCCAGTTTTCACATTCTGAGCAATCCACTATCTCTCAGTGTGTGTGAATAATTTTTTACTGAGACATATATTTCACATGTAACATATAAATGACACAAAGTTCATGATTTTTGAGGAATTTGAAACTTTATACGAACAATCCTATATTATGTATTAATTGTATCTAACATGAAGATAGTGCTTAATAATGAGATTAATTCCAACTTATGTAATATAGGTTACATTTAATTATATATTAGGTTATACATATTTTATATAAAGATAAATTTTAAGTTAACTTTAAATAATTACATATCATCAAATGCTTCTTTCTGTCAGTTACTTCCATTCAAGAAGCCCACACTAGTGAGGGAAGAGACACTCAAAAGCACTCTGGGAAAAGCTAGTAGTTCTCAGAAGGCACTCAGACTAACGCCATTTTGTCAAGGCCTCTGTCCAGCCAAATCTGCCAGCGAAATAATGATATTTCCATTTGTCCTTACAAAAGGTAGAATGTTCTTGGTCATTATCCTACAGAATAGGAGTTTTAAGAATCTTCCAGAACAGATTTACTGTTAGTGTGCCAGGCATGGATCACTTTAAAGTGCTGTGTTTGTACCATTGAGTTAGAAGATAAACTTCAGTGTACAGGAGAAAACAAGAAAGAAAACAAACCATTTGCTAAATTTTAAAAAAAAAAAAAAAAAAAAAAAAAAAAAAAAAAAAAAAGATGAACAAGGCCTCATTGTTATGACTTTCCATTTATTTTCCCCGGTCAAACACTGGAAGTTTTATTTATGCATAATAGACTGCACTTGGCATGTCTAAAAATGACAGAAGTGTGAATTATGAGTGACCTTCAACCTATTCAGGAAGT